TAAAAGTTAGCGCGGTTAATATCGTTTATAACATTAATGAATAAATTATATAAATTAATTATATATAAAAACGAATTTAAATTTATTTTATTAGATAAGTTATTTTAAACAATAACAGTAAGAGTTATCCAAATCCAAAAATATAGTTTATTTTAAACAGATAATTCATATATATATTGTATTGTTATCTGAAAGCTATTTTTAATAAAAATTTTTAAAAATTCAAAAACAGAAAATAAATAATTAAATATTAATTAATTAAAATTCATAATTTTTTATAATTGAAAAAATAATATTTGAATAATTTTATGATTAAAAATTTTCAAAATGAAAACACAAATAATAATATATGCTTATAATTTTAATTAGTAATATATTTAATTAGTATATATAATTATAAAACACTTAAGCCCGCATGGCGGGCAAAACACCTAGTTTGTATAATTTTGAGTGTTTGTTAGATTTAATCGATAATTAGTGGATTGATTTCCGGTTTAACTTCTCCAAATCGATGATTTATAATAACAAAATCCTAACAAACTTTTCTGATATATCCAAAGAGCAAGCAAACCAACAGTGGAAAGCAAAACCGGTATCAAACATTGAACCTAAACCGGTAATTAAAATAAGAAAACCCTAACCAAACCGAGTAAAGTCAATATACCAAACCAAACGGTAGCAGTTTCCCGATCGCCGCTTGAATGGTTACCACGGTGGTGGGATGCAGCAGCTGCCGCACCTCCGGCTCCAACAAACGGAACCACACCTCTTCCCCCTTTGCGTCCTCCGTCTCTTCCGCCGCCGCCGAAACTTCGTCCACCTCCACCGAAACTGCGACCACCGCCTCTGCCACCTCCTCCACCGCCCTTTTTAACAACGATAGATAATTCCGCTGTTTTGCCACCGTCCAGCTTCGATTCATGGTTTGGATCAGTGGAGATTGCGTGAAAAGATTGGTGGTGGAGATTGATTAAAAGTAGAAAGTACAGAAGCAAAAATGTTTTCCGACAACTCATAGTTGCTGTCTCTGTGGCTTTTTTTCTATCCCCCGTGTTTCTTATTTATTTATAAAAGGTTGTAATGAAAAGGGTACAAGCGTAATTCGACTCTTTTTTTGTTGAAGATAGCTTCTTTAAGTTATCTCTCCAACCTCCCTCCAAAAACCAAAATTCAACCAACCATGACCACTTCTTTAATCACTCTGTCTCTCCAACCTCTTCAAAACCCTAGATAAACCTAGAATTAGAAACCTCAATCTACCTGCCACTAGGAAGATTGTAACAAGGTTGTGTTCTTTGTGTCTTAATTTGCGTGTTGCAGAAGAAAAAAGATAACAAATGTTTTTTTTTTTTGTTATTTTGTTTCTCTTGTTTCCTTTTCCCGTACAGATTGCTGATTTCCTGTAGAATGGTGAAGCTAAACCAGGAAGAGTTTGCAATCGGTTTACATGATAGGTTAAGTCCTCTTGCAGACACCATGATATTAGGCAGTTTCTTGGTTCAACATCCGTGGGAGAGAAGCAAGAAGCTAAAGTATATTTACTACTACTTCTACTTGATCAAATATTCAAGAAACAGAACTGGTACCAAACATTTAAAACCCTTAACTTGCAATAAAAATAAGAAAAAACCCTAAAAAAACAAAACAAAAACCAAACCGAGAAAAGCCGTTAAACGAAACCAAAAGCTAGCACTTTCCCGACAGCTGCTTGAACGGTGGTGCGATCCAGCAACAAAAACCATTCCATTTCCCCCTTTCCGGTCGTCACCTCCGCGGAAACTGCGACCACCTTTACCTCCACCTCCGCCTCCGCCTCTGCCACCACCGCCCTTTTTAATAACGATAGATAATTCAGCCGTTATGCCAGCAAAAGCGTCGTCATCACCGTCGGGATTCGAGCCAACGGACTGGACAGAGAGATTGCCATGGCTTGGATCAGCGGAGGTTGCGTGGTGGTGAAGATGGACTAAAAATAGAATGTATAGAAGCAAAAATGCTTTCCTACAACAACAACCCATAATTGATGTCTCTTTGCTTTTTTGTTTCTTCTTTAATTTATAAAGGTTCTGATGAAAAGGGTATAATTGTAGTTTCACAAAAAAATTAAAGATAGCTTCTTTAATTAAGTTATCTTACCTGTTGTTCAAAAAAAAAAAAAGTTATCTTAGCTTCTTCCCTCCAAAATTGAACCAACCATGGCTACTTCTTTAAACTGTTGATGCTCTTACAAGTCATGTAAAGTGGAATAGACAATTGTAAATCACAGCTACACTACAAAGACCAGTTTCTTGAATCTAATCCATTCTCCAAATCCAAGAGTAGACGCAAAAAGGAAAAAGACACTGACTGACTCTGTATTCATCATGTGTGAGCTGATTGTGAAGACAATATCCTTGAATGGTTATGTTCGCCTTCGTAAGTAACAATTAACATCGAAGTTTCATCTACACATCGCTCCACATGCTTCCTCGCTGGACAACCTCTCACACTGCTGCATTTATAGTATCCCCTGCAAATGAATCAAATGAGTATATAGAGGCACCTTCCACCAAAAAAAAAAAAGATGAATATATATATATAAATACCGTGGATGTGGTGAGCCCTTGATAGGTTTCTGACCATACTTCCTCCATGAATATTCATCCGGAGGAATATCTGCAATCTTGTTGCTGATTGCAGGCACCTTGATTGATCTTTTCACCCTAAGTTTCCTGTAAATAAACCTAAACCTTTACAAAAAAGAGATACGAAACAGTTAACATGTCATATTGTCACAAAGAAAATGACAAACCTCTTTTTGGAACAATGACATTTGCTTCGACTTCCACATTTCAAACTACCAGAGCACATCTTCCGTGATAATCCAGTTAACTGGAACGAGTTTCTATCATAGTCCACAACACTAGTATCCATACTAAGAGATGATACAAATGATCTTGATCCGTTTGACACACTCGGAGTATAATAACTACTACTACCAGATCCATCAAACTTCAGGTTTACACCACCATTGCTCCTAGAGTAAGCTATTTGCTGGTGGTTGTGGATTAACTGATACGGAGATAGGAAAGGTGGTGGTGGCTTTAACTCCAAGAACGACTTCTTAACACACATTTTGTGGCCAAGCATCAACGTTGGGTCATCAATCTCATCATAAGCAACAGAAGCTGGAACCATCTGAAGAGGCTCTGGTGCAAGAACTTGAGTGTAATCACTAGTGACATCATTACCACAGCAAATAGGGCTCTCCAAGAAGATATGTTGAGGAAAAGATGGACTAAACTTGTTGTTGGTTCTTTTAAACTTTCCATGACCTGACCCTTTGGTTAAAAGAGAGGCCACTCTCTTGAACTTGGACACTACTTCTCTTGTTTCAACCATTAGAGATTTGGAATCACAACTGGTTTGTTGTTGTGGCAAGAGGTTTAAGATTCCATGACAGCTTTCTATGGCTAATTTGCTAGCAGCTTCAACTTCATCCATTTTTTTTTATTCTTCCACCCAAGCTTAAAATGATAGAGCAAGAAAACCCTAATTCACAAACTAGTTTTAAAACCAAAATCTAACTAGAGAGCCAAAAGATTCTGAATTCCAAATCCTAGTGAATCTAAACTGATAAGACATAGAAAAGAGTGTAACATTTAAAGCTAATTAGACAAAATCAAGAACTCAACACCTAAACACTCTATGATAAAACTAATCACCATTAGTTCCTTCCTAAAATGGCTGAACCCTTCCAAATCACTTCACAGGAAGAGCACTGAGTGAAAAAGATATGAGATCTTTTATCTATACCCAGGAAGTTAAATTAGTTCATAAAAAAGGAGACAAAACAATTAAACTCCATGGTATCTGAGAGCCATTTTTGGGACAAAAAGGAGATAAAATTAATTCATGAGAAAGAAGAAATCACTCAGGGGAATTTAGGATTTAAACAAAAGAGAAATAATGTTCCTGTGTTGTTTGTTGGTTTGTGAGAGAGATAGATAGAGATGTGTTGAGAAAAGTGTCCAAGGTTATGACTTTTGCTTTCTCCACTTTGTGGGTGGGGAAGAGTTAGACCTTGCTTTTTACTAAAAAAAATTCCCCCACCATCACAACCATTACACACAGGCCTGACTACACATTTTAAAATATAAAAGTTCATAATCTTCAAACAGACAAAAGCTAAAGTTGTGTAAACAATGTTATATAATTACAGTAAAGAGATTAGATCAGAGAGATGGTCGTCGCCCTCTGTAAGGTTCACACCTGCTTTATCCATTTTAAATTAAAAAAGTAACGGTACAGATATATCTACACGTCTCCCTAGCGCCTTGTACCACGATTGTTGACCGGCTCTATTCCTTATTTTGTGATCATCACAATGATAATTGATAAGCCTAGTAAATATAGTTAGTCAAATGATTAGGAGTTCCTGTGTTTAAATTTGCAGGGTTCAAATATGAGGCTGTTAAAGAACAAATTGCATATGATGTTTTTCAAAAAAAAAAATTGGATGGGATATCTGTTCTCAAGATTCCTTCATGATAACTTTAGTATTCAAAAATTGTAATAAAAAACTTACAATAGTAAACCTTTACGTTGTATTCCTCGGAGTATCACATAACAGTTTACTATTCCACCTCTTTTATGGAAACGCACAAATAAAGAGAAAAAGATGAATGCAGCTTGAGTAGACAGAACATCCTAATATTCTTTGGATCGGATTCTTATTAGAACTTAAGAGCAATTCCATTACATAGATATTTTATTTAGTATCTAAGTACAAATAAAGAGAAAAAAAGATGAATGCAGCTTAAGTAAACACTCTTCTTCGCTTTCTATTTGTATCGTTTTGCCTGGCTTGTCTTCTACGCAATGAGGTTACTGGTGTTTGTGTGTTTCTCGTTCTTTGTTGTTCTGTCTGAAAGAGAAGCAGAAGTAGTAAGAGAATACATGGATGAGAAGATTACCTGAACAACTATGTTTAGCATATGGTTAGAGATATTAAAAAAGACTACAACATGAATTCATTTATCTAAAAATAGAAACTCATATACCATATTGTTTCTGAAACTGAAAAAAGTTTTGATAGTTTGACATGATTGATATAGACTAGGATAATGTCTAAAACTCTTTTCTTGGTGTGGTCATTGATCTAAACAAAGAAGTCCCTAAATTAAAACAATGGAGATAAATAGCTTTTGGACAATAACCATTGCATAGATCAATGGTGGAAACAAACTTGCTATCCTCCATTAAAGCACCTAAAGTTTCCTAAAAGTTTATCTGGTCGGGTTGGGCAAAACCTATCAAGAAAAGGGCATAAAAACAAGACATATCTGATCAACCCGACCCACTTTAACCTCTTTGTTGGCCGCGTAACCTGTTCGCGCGCGGCCATCTCACAAAGAACATACATCAACAAAACCCACAAGATTCAATATCTTAAAAGCTTTTGAACCAAGAAAGAAAAACCCTAGTTTGCAGACAGAAGCCATATTAGCTTTATACACACGTCAAGTGATATATATATATATAAAGATGGTGAGAAGAAGAGAAAACCTTACATTGTCAACCTCAACACCTGCACTTGGAGAGGTTAAATCGGCAGCAACAACGCCAGTAGCCTCACAAAAACCAAAACAACGATTAACAAAACAACTATCTATGTTGGAGACATCAAGAGACGTTGCTTGGGAAAGAAGAAAACGTCAGATGATATTGATTCACGAGAAGAAGATGATGCTTCATAAAGGCGTTTCAGACAATCTTAGTGAACAGAAGAAATTAACAGATGAGGATTTAAACGAGCTTAAAGGATCCATTGAGTTAGGTTTCGGTTTCAATGAAGAAGCAGGACAAAAGCTTTGTAATACATTACCAGCTCTTGATCTTTACTTTGCAGTGAATCGTCAGATGTCTCCTCTCGCTTCACCTAGAAGTAGCCGTAGCAGCAGTGCATATGCATCACCTTTCTCGATGAGTATACCTTGTAGCCCGAAGAAAACTGATTCAGATTCATTAAAGATCGTGTGTCCAGGTAATAGAGAATACTAAAACATTATGCTCAAATTCATGAAACTGAGTGTTGTTTTTGGCAGGGGACAATCCTCAACAAGTGAAGCAGAGATTGAGACATTGGGCACAAGCAGTTGCATGTTCTGTAATGCAGACTTATTAAGAGATAGGATGTAAAAGGAACGTTTATGGCTGTGTATATACTTTGTGCAAAGGGAACAAAAGATAAGAAACTATAATGACTTTCTTGTTCATTAAACTGTATATACCAAAAGATTTCGATATGGTCTTGGATTGTACAATTATAAAATGAGAAATTCTTTTGATCTTTTCAAGCCAAAATGCATCTTTTATTTTTGTTAGCCGTTCATTTATTCTAATCAAGTGTTGACGAGTCGAGTTGATTCTCCGAAGAGAAACTACATCTGACCGTATCTGATCTATATGGAAAAAGGAATATCCTCTATTCCTTGCTTCTTTAGGTAGTGCATCCGTTCGTCCATTTTTACTCCGCGGAATATGAGACAGACTCACATCCTCGAAATTCTTCCGTAGTCGCTGAAAGACCTCGATCTCTGTCGCGAAAGCCGGTCAGTCATCCGGTCTAGTAGACATGTCCACTAGATCCGAGCAGTCCGTCTGAATCCGTATCGAAATCATCCTCAAATTTTTCATATATGAGATTGCCCTCAGTAGACCTTCCATCTCGGCATACAAAGCTATATCTAACAATGAATATTTTAAGATTTGAGGGGAAACGAAAATTCAAGAAACATTTCTTTATTAATATCTTGAAAACCACCACGAACAACACAAAAACAAAAATAAAACATATCACTCAACATAGAGGCCTTTTATTATATCATGTCTGGACAGATATTGACCTCTAAAACGATTACATAACATCAATAAACGCGATCAATGGCCCGAAACAAGAATGTTTTTGGATTCAGCAGACTGATCAACCATGAGTTCATCGCCACAGTCAACAAATTGGTAGTCAACATGGAGTCGGCCGCCATCGTCATGGCCAGTATCACCTGTGTCCAAGTCATTGAACGTATCAAGCTCCAATTCAATTTCTTCACTGCTGCATTGGTCCAGTACTCTCACCGTTACTACTGCACGCGTGGCTGCGTTCGTCACCTGCACCCATTTAGAAACAAAAGTTCATCATCACAACAGTTTAAAAAACCGGCCTATATTATATTTTTTTTTAACAAAAAGATCCGGCTTATGGTTGTATGGTACCTTCAAATTTACTAAAACACACCAACATTGATATCTTTAAACTTTCATATTACATGTTATATACAAGACGGATAAATTATTATTTTATATATCACTGAAAAAAAATCTCTTAGAACCAGAATTCAAGATTAATTTTTCTGTTGTGGAAATTTTTGTGATATTTAAACTAAAGTCAATAAGTCTGTTTTCAGTCGATATTTCTTATATTGGAATATTTCCAAAAGAAATCTATTTGGATCAGTTATATTGGTCTTTGGTTCCAATTCATATCTTTTAGCCAATTCAATTTATACGCTTGTAAAGAGAATATAGCAAAAATCATAGTTACTTACTTACCTTCAAACACTTGCCGCAAGCAGCTTGACCTTGAGGACCAACCAATCCGCAGATGGAGGCCCAGGAATACTTTCTTCTCCACTCATATGGTTTGGCAGCATCCCACGTGGCGCAATAGACACCCAAGGCATTTAAATCCCAGTTATACCACTTCGGCTGGAGGGAGTTGAAGCTGGCGATTGCATGCCTGGGGCGATCTCCTGGGGGGCTCGGCGTGCTTCCCCAACCAGTAGCCAGCGACATCATAATGATGGTTATGCTAAGTCCGATCTTCATGCTCGATCAGTTTTTTCTTGTATTCCCGGCCTGTGGTATAATATGCATGTAACTATCTTCATATATAAAATAACCTTATCAGTAGTATTTTTGGAACAATTCATTTAAAATATTTGTAGCCAAATCCAGATCTGCTTGTTTAGAGGCAATTATATAAAATATACTCCACGTTTCGTGCATTAATGGCACAAACTATGATATTGCTTGTATATTGAATTAATTATCTTTGTATGTTCTATACATATCCAATTCATAATTTGACCTAATCTCCTTTTTCATTCTAATGAAGGCCATGTGACGTTGCTTTGCCTTGCTTTGCGATCAAAAAGATTTATCTATATATGTTTTATATAGTAAATCAATAGTTTTTTTAAGAAACAATTCATTTAAATTATTTGTCTTCACATCCAGCTCTGCCTGTCTAGAGGCAATAAACTAAAATATACTGCTCGTTTTCGTGTATAAACTTTAAACTATGATATTACCTGTATATTTAAAGAATAATCTCTGTTTTTCTATACATATCCAATTAATTGTTTGACCTTTTTTTTGCGAATGAAGGCCAAGTATTATTAAATGCATGTATCTCTATATTCATGTATATATATGACCCTCTTTTTTTTTTTGAAACGTTATTACTCACAATCAGATCTGACTGTTAAGAAAACAAAATAAACTCCTCGTTTTCGTGCAATGGCTTAAACTATGAAAACATATAACTCGACGTGGAGGCTTTTATATATTGAATTATGTTTTGACCCATCTTGACCTCTAAAGTATCAAACGCGATCAATGGCTGAAACAAGGATGTTTTTGTAATCAGTAGACTCATCGATCTTGAGTTCATCGCCACAGTCAACAAACTGGTAGAGTTAACATTGAGATGGCCTTGTGGATTACCAATACCATTGGTGTCCAATCTATTGAACATTGCAACGTCCAATTCCAATCCTCCATTGTAGCATTGGTCCACTATTCTCACTGTTAATATGTATAAGAGCGAAAATTAAATAAAATCTATATTATAATGATACACTTTAAAGGCTCCTTAAGGTGTCCACATAGACAGATTGTGGGTCCCACATTTTTATATTAAAATATATAGTTTTTTTAAAATGGCTACAAACAAAGAATATCAGTTTAGCCAAGTGGTCTAATGCCCCATGTTTGGTCTGCAAGGGCATGGGTTCAATTCCCACTGCTCTTCTCATGCATAGATATTTTTTAAACACACATAGCCTTGGTAAGATGGTCACAAACAATGAAATACACTTTAGTCAAGTGGTATAAGGTGTCTAATTAAGTATGCAAGATTGTGGGTTCAAACCACGCAGCTATCATGTATTTTTGATTTTTTTATTTAGGTTATTATCATATGGATTTTTTGTTTATAAGGTTCTTATGTTTTTTTTTGGCTTACTGTTTTAAAGATCAAAATAGTTGTATAAACCCTAAACCTTAACAAGTTCAAACCCAAAATAGTTAAAAATGAATCCAAAACGAACAATAAAAAAAAAACAAGTCTCACGTGGTTGCCTACGCGGATGGCTTACAGAACCTTAAAACTATCATATTATAATATAGCTCAACCCAAAATAATAAAAAATAAATCCAAAAACGAACAGACAAAAAAAAAAAGTGAATTCCACACGGGTGCATACGTGGATGGCTTAATGAGGGTTGAATAATATAGATTAGGAGCTCAAAAAGTTAAATCATTGCACATATTTCCTAATATATATTTTCAAAAAATTTGTATGTGAGATAAAATAAAATAAAACAACAAAAATTAATTATCTTTCGTTATTTATTAAATGAATATATAATTTCTCTTACATTTTAATAACTACTATAATTTCCTTGATACATTCCTCACCACCGATTTCAGACTCCGGCGAATGGATTCCCACAGTCGATGACGCCGTAGATAAAAATGCCACATCATTTATAAACAAAACTCAAACTTACAAAAAACCATATATAAAAGCCTATCTAATGAAACTTAAACAACGAATATTAACGTAATTAAGGTTATTTTGAAATTGATAAATCGTTTAATACAAATATAAATACTATAAATATAGAATTATATCAAGTTTTGATCTACGATATAAAAACTATTTACAGCCAAAAAAACACACCTACTTTTACACACTAAAAACTATATTATAGCCTAACTATTCCTATAAACCCTACTTCGCATATAAATAACATTTAACACATTCCTAATATTTTTCAAAAAAAATTGTATGTGAAATAAAATAAAATAAACAACAAAATTTAAGTAAGTTATTTATTAAATGAATATGTAACTTCTCTTACATTTTAATAACTACTATAATTTCATTGAAAACATTTCTCACCACCGACTCCAGACTTCGGCGAATGAATTCCCACAGTCGATGACTCCGTAGATAAAAATGCCACATCATTTATGAACAAAATCCAAACTTACAAAAAACCATATATAAAAACCTATCTAATGAAACTTAAACAACAAATATTAACTTAATTAAGGTTATTTTCATATTGATAAATTGTTTAATACAAATATAAATACTATAAATATAGAATTATATCAAGTTTTGACATACGATATAAAAACATGAAATTTTCCATTTCATTATTAATTGGTATCATTAGAAGAATCCACTAAACCAACAATCGAAAAAAATATACGCAAACATAATGATCCCGGCCCCGCGCTTGCGCGGGGAATATGCAACTAGTATATATAATTTATAACTCAGATCAAACAGTATATTAACTTCAATCTATATTGTCTGGACCCAAGTGCCAATAATTTACTAAAGGATTGATACACTAGTAGTTCAACTTTGGATTTTCTTAATGAAACGTACAACTTGGCCCATTGCATTGTCAAACTTTGATTTTGGTAGGAATCAAATTCAAAACCGATGCATTTATGTTTTGCCCCCCAAAAAAAATCTTACCATCAAGTTACCACCGACTGGTTCTTATATCCGAAATATTTCCAACATAAATTTATTTGGAGTTTGTTAAAGACATTTTGTTCACACTAGAATTGTATTGATCTTGTTTCATATTCATTTCGTTCTGGCCAAAAGCAAACTAAGTAGAAACGCATACTTTTACAAAAAGAATTTATATAGAAAAATCGTAGTTACTTACCCTCAAGCACTTGCCGCAAGCAGCTAGACCACGAGGACCAACCGGTCCGCAGAAGGCGGTCCAGCCATACTTGCTCCTCCACTCGTATGGTTTGCCAGCATCCCACGTGGCGCAAAAGACACTCGTGGCCATCAAATCATAGTTATTCTTCTCTGCGTTGTAGAAATTGTAGGTGGCGTGTACGTTCGATGCACTCTCTCCTTGGCCACTAGGCTCGCTTCCTAAAACAGTAGTCGCCACTGATAACAGTATGATGGTTATGGTAAGTCCGATCTTCATGATATCAGTTTTTTGTCTTCTCGATCAGGGGTCTAATGGATGTATCTATATTCAACATATATATTGAAAAACATTATCAGTATCTTTCTAGAACAATTCATTAAAATATTTGTACTCAGCTCCAGATCTGCCTGTTTAGAGGCAATTAAATAAATTATACTCCACGTTTTCGTCAAATAATGGCTTAAACTATAATGTTACTTGTATATTGAATTGATTATTTGTTTGTTCTATACATATCCAATCCATAATTTGACCTAATCTCTTTTTTTATGAACGCCATGTGACAGGTGCTTGCCTTGCTTTGTATCATCATATTAATATATGCACGATCTATATGACATAGGTATACGTACATGTTTAACCCAAATCAAGATCGGCCCGTTTGGTCTGTTAATCTGTTATCCAATTCATGATTTGACCTAGCATTTTGTATCTTTAGAAACTCTTCTCATATTTAATATGAAATTCACATTTTGGCAAAAAAAAATGACCTAGCTAGGTGTTGACTAGTTTTTGTTTTAACCTTTCAGAATAGTTTTTGGTTTTTATTTTTCAAAAACCATTTTATTAATTAGCCAATCGAGATTCCTAAAAAAACTGATTCCTTACAAATAAGAGAAACAAAAACTCTTTTTTCTTATAGCTAATCAAGATCTTAGGAAAAGAGTTTTCCTATAATCTAGGAAAACAAGTTCTTACATGTTATATCAAATTTTAAGTACATGTTTCTTGTACATGTTTTTTGTTTGTAACTCATATCAAGATCTTCTACCTAATTCACCTCCACTTTACTTTTTCTGTAGCCAAATTAGTCTCAGCTTTTTTTGTAAGCAGCTATTTTGAAACAGCTCCCTGGGTAAAACTTTTGTTGAACTAGTGCTACAAATAAATAAATATATCTGCTTAGTTTACAACCAAGTTGCTATTTGTTCTTGGTGTATTAATTAATCTATAGTAATATAAATATATCAAGAAATTAGATAAGTTGATAAAGCAAATACTATCGTTGTTTATTGAGGCGATGGATGACAGCGTACAACAATAATGGAGCATGCATATTGAAGACAATTTTATTTGTAATTCATTAAAATACTGTCCCCCAACAACTCTACATTATGGGATTATCCACATGCTCTCGCCCCGTCCACTATCACACATTACCTTCATCAATTAAAAGGTTTTCATACATGGTTCAGTGAAAAATACCAAGAACGATAATATTCAAGACATCAATAAATTGTAACTTAAGTGAATATAGAAACTAAACACTCTTTGAAAATTTGAAAATAAAAAAAAATCTTTTGATTGATGTATAATTTTTTGTTTTGATTTTACAAAAAGGTATTGCTGGATGAAATAGTAGTACTAAAAGAAATAAACACTAACTGAATCTTTGAGTAGCCAAATATCTTACACACACGAGAATAGTTGGAGAAACAATTTAAATTGGTTCTACGACCGTGAAGTTTTTTTTTTTTCATTTAACGATCCGCTTAAAAGAAACAAATAAGAACAGGAGTAAGAAGATGGTCCAAAATAAAATAATAATGAGTTTACTGTCGAAAAAAGAAATACACTAAACGAGAATGATGATTTATCACATCAAAGTAACACATTAAGATGCCTTAGGGATAATACCTTATAGACAATACAATAATGCGTAAAAACAAAAGTTGTTCAAAACGGAAATATATAGCAGGCCACCAAATAAAATATACATATTTATATAGGTATATAATATAATACATATAGCAAAAAGGGTTTATAAAAATTATAAATGTAATACATCACAATATTATTATTACTATTTATGAATATTATACGCAAACTCCCTGCTCGTAACAGTAGTTTCGAGCCGGTTTGGCTTTTCTCAGTTTGAGATATCCAACCGGATCGAACCGGTCTTTTCCTTAGAGCTCTCAGCTTCTGTTCTTGCACTTTTCTAACGCCCTTGGAGCTGCAATCAATTGATAATAGTATTAGCAAAAAGTGCATATAATCTCATAGCATGAAACCAAATTTGGATTAAAAATACTAACCAAGTCCGCTTGCTTCTGATCCCTTCATTATTCTTACGCGTTTGCATGAATCAACAAACATCCTAAAAAAAAATCCAAAAGGAAACGTAAATAACTTTTTTTTTCTTTTTTTTTTTGTTCAACTGAAACGTAAATAACTATTTATGTATAGTTTGCTACAAAAGCTACTATATTAAAATATATACTAAATAATAATACTCACTCCCATGGCACGTCTCCTACAAGCATCCAGTCTCCATCTTTATCTTCATAAGTTGGAACGTAATCTGATCCATTCAAAAGATCGATCAATTTACTCTCATTCATAAAATCTTTCATCCCTTGTGGTCCATAGTTGCCTGAAACAAAACAAAAACGTTATATTAAACAAAGATTCTAAATTTGTAATATATATAAATATTAACCTTTTATCTTTACCTATGGTAAAAGAGCTGAACATTTTACTTAATGCGTCGGATAGATCTTGGTATGTTTTGTAGAGTTTCAAATCAATTTTTCTTAGGTAAGGTGCGCCGTCCATGCTAACCTTCACGTAAGCTGCGGTAGCACCAACGGAGGCAGAAGAGGTGGCTCCGTTGCTGCCGGAAGTCTTTTCAGTTCCTCCCACAGCTTCTCCGGTGATTGGCTTTTGGCCTGACATGACGTTCTTCCGGAAAGATCGTACCGGTGGCCATCCCACAACTTGTGCCCTGAAATTCCGTAAATATATTTTAGTTGTTAATTTCAATTTTCGTAAAATCATCTAGTTGCTTGATACGTGTCGGATGTTAGGTGGATGTAGTTGTCCAAATATTAATTTAGTTTTCAATCGTTTTACATAGATAAAGTAAAGATTCCTTATGTTTTGTATTTTTCTTAATTCGTCCCGACCAAACCTTCAAACAGAACACTCATCAACCAAACTATATTTATTAATCACATATAAATAATCTTATGTAAAACTGTTGAAAACATGGAGCAAAACTAAAAAATAATAATTCACAGATCTCTGGAGAGTTATTTGCATAGCTGCTCTAATTAGCGTAATCACTCTTCTTGTTAAAGCCTATCATCTCTTAGCTAAACTATAACCGGTTGGTATTATCATTGCTTATACTTAAGACAAATGTTAATAGGAATACAGATTAAAATTTAGTTTCTTACTTGGCTGGTGGTTTTACAACCTTCTCCTTCATATTCTCTAAATCAACTCCGGAAACCGAATCCATAGCCGTCGATGAAAGATTCAGTTTGAGATCAACGGTCTCAGAAAATCCTCGTTTTCCATTATTTTTCATGGCCATGTTTCCTCCGTGATTGCCACCCGGCAGCCCTAACCTCAGCTCAGTTGCCTCAAAATTGATCATCTTGCTTGATAAATGATTAGCAACGAATAATAAATTAGGTGATCAGAAAACGAGTAAGAGAACAAAGATTGTCTTGTTTCTAGGGTTTTTAGTTCTCTCGATCTATTATTTTTTTTGAACTAAAACGTTTGAAGAGAGAGAGAAGGATGTGAAATGTGTTTGAAACAAAGGGCTAAATATTGGATCGTGTGTGGTTATAAAATATATATCGAGTTCATTGTTGTGGATTATTGTTTGAACGGGTGAGATGCTGCCACGTGAATGCTGGGATTGGTTGGACCGTAAAGAGTGTTGTCGAGAGAGAATTATGTCATGAATGGCGTCACCTCTCTCTGAATAATTGTGGACAAAGGCCAAGTTGGCGCAGTTTTTCTTCTTTCTGTTCCGAAATATTATTATTTTGTACATTTTTATCTTTTATTTTAGTTCATCCATTTTAAATTATACATTTACTTTTAAAAAAATCAATCATTCTTATTTCAAAAATACAAATAAACCAATATTATTAGTTTTTTTTTATAAAGAAAACCAATACTATTAACAAAAGAGTGTTTTGTCGGAATTATTTTTATTTATGTAAACTACAATTGAACTAAAATGACAGCTAAGACAATATGGGACCCATTGATGGGAAAGTTGTCAGCTTCAAACATGTGTTTTGATTCCATGGATTCGTTGTCCTTCTTATGGGGTCCGCCATTCACAAGTAATATGCTTGCCTTTTTTAAAGATTGTTTCATTTATATTAATAATTTCTGATATAATAATTTAAGTTAAATTTGAATAAATTAAAGTCCTGGTCTGCCATAGCGTTTTCGTGCAATGCTTCCTCCATGTGCGTCTGTCTTGTTTGTAATATATGGATTATTGAGAAGTCAAAAGAAAACTAGGGATTAAGGTATATTACTCATGTAAATGTGAATATTCCTTTACTAGTTTCATATGTGCACCATGTAATAAGCAAACATGCCTTCTACTGCTATATTAAACATGAGTAACTCAACAGTACAATTAGTTAGACAGTTGACGTGGAACATTTTATGAATATCGCAGATCAAAAACGTAGCAAATCGAAGGAAATGACATCAGGAAATCTGTTTCTACGAAGGCGATATGTCTATGAACCGATTTATTGGTTGCGAGAGAACGAAAGCTTGACAACATCTTTTTAGGGAAACATATACAATTTCTTTAATCTTCATTGGTTTGAGGATTATTCGATCTAAGTTTCTCGTCAACCATTAGTCATCCTAATCTCGCAAACATTTGCATACGGATATTTGATAGTAGTATTACATAGGTTTTTTGCTGTTTTAGAGTAGAAAAAGTTTTAAATGTGCATGTATGTAGTATATATACACATCACATTTATATCTTGATAAAATTTTAAAGAAAAGATTTAGTCATGTTTTACCATCACAGTTCAATTTGTATTTTCGAATATAGATCAAATGCAAATGCGTAAGGAAAAATGCAACGCCATTCCAAAGAAATAAATTAATCCTTCAAATCATATAGAAATAAATTAATTACTTCGAAGTTTTTAAAACTATATAACTTAAAAAACGGTCAACCATGTGATATGGTGAAACATGTCACACCCATGTCGTCAGTTTTCGGGGGTATAATATGGTTATTAGCATATTCAGGAAGGAACACAATAATATTAGCTTAATTATAAACCAATTTTGTACTTACAAATTATAAAGCATAATGATCATCAACATCATTTACTGCTAACCATCATCATGCCCATACATGATTAAGATGGAAGAATCTGACCTAAAAATTAAAAGTCAAGTTGACAATGACTTCATCTTGATCTAGAGGGAAACTATATATATACACACACACACACACATATATATATATATATATATATATACGTGTGGATATATATGTTATAAGTAAAATTTATTAGACAAAAAGTACTCTTTTACCAAAAAGAAAACCAACATAATTTTTTATGAATATTACAAAATTTTAAATGAAAATAAATATATAAATAAATTTAAATTATACCTTGTAGAATTATTTGAATCTGGATACTGACTTGCTATATATATGTAATAGTGTTTTTGTTAGCTCTGATTTTACTCGATTTAGATTGCATTCTACTATTAATAGATGGTCAAATACATAAGAAAATCAGGATAGATAAAACGTCTGAGAAATTTTTCTACGAAAAAACTGCTACCTATATTAAGGAACATGTTAATTAAATTAAACTAGTATTATTACAAATTAACACAATGGTAGTATTTTAGTATATTTTTCAGATAGTGAGAAGAAGTCATAAATTACAAAAGTATGCAAAGAGATGCTCACTGAAAAATATTTAAATCACAAATATAAAACTCCACACACCCGTGATTGTCAATTGCTAGATTAAATTTTCATTTGGTTAGTTGATTTAAACTGATAGTTGCAAAAACGTTACTCTCATATAAATTCATGTAAAGGTGAGGTCGAGGAAATAAACGGGTCCACGTTGGCCGAACACCAACCCTAGATAAAGATAGAGATGCACCCTCGTGTGGGCTGGACCCAGTGAGAAATCATGTTCGATGTTTCACTCTCCAATAACATTACAGGTTCACCCGTATGTCTTATATGTGTGTTAAATGCATGAACTATGGATAATGTGGATAGTGAATGCCTCTGATCGCATTGACGCCGCAACATCTTCCCATCCTAACCGTGATTTTTTACAATTTTCTTTTTGTTAAAGAAAAATTAAGAGTGTGATTAGTTGGCTGTTTTCGAGTAATATTTACCCCACAATTAAAATTACACCAAATTCAGCTGAAACTCTGTCAATCAAGTAAAATATTATAACTTTGTAGTTAGTCTAGTTAATATTCAAAAAGAAAGAAAAGCACACTGAGTTTTACTCTAGATATTGCTAAAGTAATTGATATTACTTTGTATTTTTTCTGTTTCCACTTTCTAACCCTTTTTAATTCTCTCTATGTTTCACTTTTATATTTTTTTTCTATTTTACTCTATTGTTTACCAATCAAACTCTAAATGAAGTTGGTCAATTAATCCGTTTTATAGTGGTTTTGTTTCATATTATTTGATATTTATCATTTCAAACGATAATTAAAATCATTTTCCCATTTTTTCTCTTCTTTTTTGTTCGTTATAAAGTATGAAATAAAGATAATTAACTCATTTTATATTTTTTTGGCCTTTTAACAATTATATTCTGGATGAAAGCAACAGAAGAAGTAGTAATTCAAACAGAAGAAGTCTAAAGCAATCTTGAAGTTGGTTTTTCAAGCATTGGTCTATTTTATATGGAGAGAAAGAAATTCCATCTCCATTGGGGTATGCATAAGCCGCCTACTCAAATAGTGAAAGAGGTTCAGCTCCAAATTGGACCAAAGCTACTTGGTCTCAATAGGGAGGGAACTACCATCACTCCATCTCAGCGCCAGTCTCATGAGTCCTACATTTTCACATGGTTTGACAGATTCCAACCTTGAGAAGGGAATTCTACGTCACTGTTTCACTCAAGTTTCATTTTACCAAAAATAATTTCCGACTTGTTGTTTCGTAATGTAATTTTTAATTGTTTCGTAGGAAGGTTATCAGTTTGTACACTTTTACCCGTTTCGGGTTTTATTTGGAAATGGTATCCCTTTCAAAAAAAAAAACTTTAGTCTCTGTCGGGATACATCAGTTACGTTGTCGGAAATTAAAAGTCCATAGTTTGACTTTGAGATAGATTATAAAAAAATATTTTTTCACGAAAAACAAACACTACAAAATACATTAATTAAGTACGTACGTAATTAATTTGCTTTTGAAAAGATATTACTACTGTCACAAACTTGAGTTAAGTTGGTCTGACTATTCATATGCATGACTATCAAGTAATTTGCTTTTAAAGGGATTACAAGGGATATGGAATTGACAACCAAGAATAGAAATCTACAGAATTGTTATATATAATATATTTCTTAGCTTCAAAATGAGTTAAAAACAAGCCAGTGTTATGTTCTAGTGTAGATTGTGAAGATAAGTACTTTGTCTACATTATATAGCTTTAATTTGATGTCTTAGTTAAAGCCCTAGGATCTGGTTCGTGAACTCCATTCTCTGAACTATTTTATTGCTAAGAAGAATAATGTCCACGGGTTTATAATTTGCGCTTTGAGTTAAATCTTCTAATGTTTATCAAATGAACCGATATTTCATAATACTATTACTGGTCCTAATTAATTCCAATAGTCTTAAGTCCAGACTAACTAACAAGCTTACAAATAAAGAATGTTATGAGAATAATTATGCTTTATCCTATTTCTGTTATGCTTGCTAATTGTTATATTGCCAACTGTTAGTGTTTTTACTCTTACAAATGTGTAAAATTTCTATTATATAACATTCCTTAATTATATACAAAAAATAACGTTTTTGACAATGTTTTGAAAACAGGACCAGACACCAACTTAGTATAACTATTAGTTGACTGGTTAGACCAGTTCAATCGGTCGTAGCCTTTTCAATTTTTGTAACAATTAAACATATAGATATATTTACATTATATAGACTGATAAAGTAATTTTACATATAATATATTCTTTTTCTCTTTTATTAACTAGGAAAATAAATAATAAGCATAAATAACTAGATATACTGTTACAAGTGAATAATATATAAAACTGAAATTGATAAAATCAAACGATTGATTATTCAAATTGTCGTATTTATTTTTACAACTAAAGTCTCAGATTTTAAGAATATGTTAAAATAACATATAAAGGTTAAAAATATATTTGTTTATATTATTTCTTAAAAAATATAATTAAATAGAAAATCAATAGTCAAACATCGAGTATAAGATATTTAGTTTTAATAACAATTAAAAACAAAATTATTATACGTTAATTTTTTTAGAACCATGTTTTAAAGTTGATCGAGATCGAGATCAACGGTTCTACAGGTCAGGTGGTTCGACCGGTCTGACCGGTTTTCAAAACAATGGTTTTTGACGTCTAGACCCGACAGGCTCCATAATTATATACAAAAAAAATAACATTGCTTAATTATATGGGTTTTGTTCCAAAAACAATTATATGGGTTCCATGTTCAAAGTCTTTTGAGACGACGCGTTTGGTATGTAGCTTCAACTTTCATACAACATAATGTATATTACTGACTATTGACTAAGATGATGCAGATAACTACCAGTCTACCAAAGTTTGATTTGTGACTCATTGTAAAGATGTATCACGTAACCTTATATATAGAAGTCAAAGATTAGTATTATTACAGTATATGGAACGTATCTTCCAGTGACACAAGTATCAGCTTTAATTAGTGTTTACTGAGATCCATCTTTCAAAAAAACTATGCACTATAAATACTGTACTCTCTTCATACCAAGTAGCACAAAACACCATTTAACTATTCCATACACATTTATTTTCCTCACAAATTATGAGTAATCTAAAAGGAACAAGTAGGGTTATGGTCGTTGCAATACTCATAGCAGCATGTGTGTTTATGATCAGCAACATGGCGGCTGGAAAAGATATTGGATATCCAGCAATACGTAGTGGCGATGGTCCTCATGGCTGTGATCCTAAACACCCTGAAACATGTCACCCCCCGCAACCAGTTAATCCTTACAAACCGGGATGTCCGCCCTCGGCAAGATGTAGAGGTGGCCCGCCAGGTCGTCCAATAATCAGTATGTAGTTTGTACTAGACGATTGTATGAATAAATCTACAAAAGCAAAACACACATCAATAGATCCATGTAACTGCATCTATCAATGAAATAAAATTTATAATCTATGGGTTTTGCGTTTGTCACTTCAGTCTATACACATGTCTACCGTTGATGAAAATGAATCAACGGATGAGAAATTTTGATCTTCATTGCCATATAGTTTGCATAAATTAGCATACGGATTTTGATTCAGTTTTTCTTAATAATCAACCTAGAATAATACATGGCTTGACTTGTTGGTCTCGGATTTAAGAAATATTAAGCAGTAGTTACACTTTTTATATAGATTATTGATCAGGTGGATATCGTCTGTAAAGATTTTTTTTTGAAAATTGTTCTAGACTGATTGTTTTTGAAAAAATTGTTTTGTAAAACTGTGGTTATCTGACTAAGCACGTCTAGACGATTCCTAAACCAAATTTAAGAAATTTGGCTTAGTTTTTTTGATAATTATATAATTTTATATTATTTTATAATTTATACAAGTTAATTTAGTATAACTTAATCCAAAGAAATAAAAGAAAATCTATTGAAGATTATATATAGTTTTAAACATATATATATATATATATATATATATATATATTCTTAAATGTAATTAAAAACAAATCAATTTTATGTTATCTTAATTTTAGTTTAAATAAATTAAAATTTATATTAAAATATTGATATAAAAATAACAAATAAAAATATTAAAAAAAATTATTTTAAAAATAGTTTTAATTTAAAATATAGTGCAGGAAAACACTAATAGTATTAAGATAACTATCAATGTTTGATTTGTGACTTATTCAAAAAATGTGTCACCTAACCTTATACATATAGAAATGAAAGATTAATAATATCACAATATTTGTTTTTTTTTAAACGTATTATCACAGTACATGGAATGTATCTAACAGTGACACAATCTATAGAGTGTAAATTCCCTTTGATTCCTGTCTTAATTATTCAGAAAGTACAAGCTGTAATATTTACTGAGATGTATCTTTCAAAACAAAATACGCACTATAAATACCCTCTTCATACCAGTTAGCACAACACACCATTAGCTATTCTATACACATTTAATTTTGCAACACAAATCATGAGCAATCTGAAAGGAACAAGCAGGGTTATGGTCATTACAATACTCATAGCAGCATGTGTGTTTATGAACAGCAATATAGCGGCTGGAAAATATATTGGATATCCACCAATACGTCGTGGCGATAATCCTCCTGGCTGTGATCCTAAATACCCTGGCACATGTAAACCCACGCAACCAGCAAATCCGTACAGACCTGGATGTTCGCCCGGGAAAAGATGTAGACATGTCCCGCCACTTCCTCCAAGAATCAATATCTAGTTGTTTTAGACGATTGTACGTCTAAATCTACATAAACAAAACACATCAATAGATTCATGTAACTGCATCAATCAATGAAATAAATCTATAATACATGGTTTTCGCTGCTTGTTATTTCAGTCCATACACATATATGTCTACCGTTTAAAAATGAATGAACTGATGATAAATGTTGATATTCATTGCCATATAATTTTCACAATAACTTAGAATGATACGTGGCTTGGCTTATTGGTCTCGAACAAAAATCAAGAAATCATTAGACGTTTTATATGAGATTATTGATTACGAAGATATATACATTTATTTAAAAACATTTTGTATAAATTTGATTTCCGAGCTAAATGTATGTCTAAACCGATTTTTTTATAGAACAACCTATAAGAATATATAATCAAATTAAAATTAATTATTTTTTTTTGAAAAATGGTGGTGAAAATAATAGTAGTAATTTTACTACATATTGTGACTTCCAGCTTACGTGTAAAAAATGGGACCCACAAACAAAAAATAGATTTTTCTGTTTTGTTTAAATTCCACAAAAGATGTTTATTTTCTCTTCTTCTTCAAATCTAAACCCTTTCTCTCTCTTTGTCCGAATCAAATCCGGTTGCTGGCGCAAAGGTACGAGCTTTTGAGCGATTCATCGACGATCCAGCGAGAAGCGAAGGGGTGACAAAAAACCCTAATTTCGAAATCCGTGAAATCACCAAAAGTTTCTGAATCGGGGCGGCGGAGATATTTCGTCCTCTTTGTCCGCGATGGCGGAATTAGGGCAACAGACGGTGGATTTCTCCGCTCTCGTTGGTCGAGCGGCGGAGGAATCTTTCTTGTCTCTGACCGAACTCGTTGAAAAGGCTAAGTCTTCGGAGCTTTCTGATACTGATAAGAAGCTTAGCCTCCTCAAGTATGTCGTCAAGACTCAGCAACGGATGCTTCGGCTCAATGCCCTCGCCAAGTGGTGTAAACAGGTTTTGTTTTTCTCCTGCTTGTGCAAAGTTTGTTTCTTTTGCCGTTTTTGAAGTGAAAGTTTGAAGCTTTTCTTGAATTGGGATTAGATTAGGGTATTAGTAGTCCGTTTGGAGATCTTTGAGTTTTGATTTGAATGAAAATGGAAGCTACCCTTTTGTGGCTTTGATGGGTTTTGTTGTTATTTGTCTGCTAAAGCTTATAGTGTTTCTCTACAAGTTATTTATGGGGCAAGTCGCATTTATGCCGCTTAGACATATCACATATGTGTTTGTCATTGCAACTGTTTGAAGTTATGTTGTGATTACTCTGGCATGTTAAGCAGCCTAAGTGTTTACTAAAGTTTCAGCCTTTCTTACTTCTCCGGACAATTAAAATAAAAGAGTCGAGCTTTTGGAGTTTGTGGTTCGGATAATGTGGATGTATAGTGTTAGTTTCATTTTAGTTGCTTACTTAGTGTAAGAAAAGCTGAGCACTATGACTCGGTTAAGTTCAGCTTTTGTATAATCACTATCACTGGACGGTTTAGGATACGGATTAAGTACATTGGAACAAGGTCATTTTATTTTAATTGGTGGATCTGGTTAGGAAATGTTACTATCTTTAATTTAGTATAGTAGTGTCTACTTCTAACTAGGTTTGTGAAATTCTCAGGCAGCTACTTTAGATCAACCTTCCATTGATATTTCATGAATTATTGAAACGAGAAAGTAATCAGAATTTTACTAAGCCACTTATTCACCTTGGCTGCAGGTTCCTCTAATAAATAGCTTGCAAGACGTCGGGAGCACATTATCATCTCATGATATATGCTTTACACAAGCTGCGGATTCACTGTTCTTTATGCATGAAGGTCTACAGCAAGCTCGTGCCCCTGTCTATGATGTTCCCTCTGCTATTGAGGTTTTGCTGACAGGTTCTTATCAGCGCCTGCCAAAGTGCATAGATGATGTGGGGATGCAGTGCTCTCTGGATGAGCATCAACAGAAACCAGCACTGAGAAAGCTGGAGGTGCTTGTACGTTCCAAACTACTTGAGATCACACTTCCAAAAGAGATAACAGAGGTTAAAGTCTCTAAAGGCACAGTTACCTTATCCGTCGAGGGGGAGTTTAAGGTTCTTGTCACTCTTGGTTACCGAGGACACCTATCCATGTGGAGGATATTGCATTTGGATCTGCTTGTTGGTGAAAGAAGTGGTTTAATTAAACTCGAGGTGACAAGACGGCATATCCTTGGTGATGATTTAGAGCGTCGAATGTCCGTGGCAGAAAATCCATTCACAATATTATATGCGGTGCTTCATGAGCTTTGCGTTGCCATTATCATGGACACAGTCATAAGGCAGGTCCGAACTCTTCTTCATGGCAGATGGAAAGATGCGATTCGCTTTGATTTAATATCGGATACTGGCACCACACCAGTGAACCAAGAAGGAGAGGCAGATTCTGTTAGTCTTAAAACACCAGGAGTGAAACTAATGTACTGGCTAGATTCTGATAAAAGTTCTGGCCCATTCATTAAAATTGAACCAGGGTCAGATCTCCAGATTAAGTGTTCTCACAGCACGTTTGTGATTGACCCACTAACTGGCAAGGAAGCCGAGTTTTCTCTGGATCAGAGCTGCATTGACGTGGAGAAGCTTCTGCTTAAAGCTATATGCTGTAACAGATATACCCGTCTTCTTGAAATTCAGAAAGAGCTTTTGAGGAATGACCGTATTTGTCGAGCTTCCAGTGATGTCATACTGCAGGCCTTCCTGAATGAGCCTGGTAGTGAGGTAAATATTCTAAGAGTTGGTTTATCTTAATCTAGGAAATTTTGTTCCTTAAGTTTTAGGAGATCAAGCATTAACTGGAAGCATAAATTTCAGAGATGGTGGAGCCTAGCTTTTCGATAATCTGTATTTGTTTTGATTTTTGACACAATTGTAGTTGTTAAGAATAGTGATTTCCGCACTGCACATGGCCTATGGCCTAACTTCTTTTAGCTTTGGAGTTAGTATAGTCCAGGAATATTTCTCTTGCTATTGGTATTCTCATTCTTTATTTTAATTGAGTTTAATTTGGTCATTCTTCTTTCCTCCTTCTTTTAGGGAGGTAACATGATAGATTCTATGCAACAAAAAGAGCCAGAGGTATTACGTGTCCGAGCCTATGGATCATCATTTTTCACACTTGGGATCAATATAAGGTATAATATTCACTGTTATAGATGTAGTATATACACATATATAGAGATCTTATCTTAGCCTGGCATTTCTCATTTTATATTAATGATTGCAGGACTGGTAAGTTTCTTCTTCAGTCATCCAAGAGTGTCTTGACCCCCTCCATCTTGGACGAATTTGAAGATGCGTTAAATCAAGGAAGTATATCTGCTGTTGATGCCTTTATCAACTTGAGAAGCAAAAGCATTTTGCATTTTTTTGCCGCCATTGGCAAATTTTTGGGTCTTGAGGTAGTAATTTTGTGCCTCAGCTTGTTGTTCATGTTCAGTTTTGGAGTTGGAAGTGTTGACTTTTTTTCTTTTTGTTTAATGCAGGTCTACGAACATGGTTTTGGTGTAAACAAAACCCCCAAAAACCTCTCGGATGGGTCAAGTGTTCTGGCTTTGGGATTCCCTGACTGTGAAAGCTCTCACCTCTTGCTCATGGAACTCGAGAAGGACTTCACGCCATTGTTTAAATTAGTAGAAACTCAAACGGATGGTTCCGGAAAACCTCAGTTTCTCAATGATATGAGCAATGTTTTGCGGGTTAAGAAAATTGATATTGGGCAGATACGGATCCTTGAAGATGATCTTAACTTGATTACATCTGATGTAGCTAGATTTGTATCTTCATTCTCAGATGCTGAGAGCTTAAATCAAGCATCTGGACACCGTCGTCCTGGACTAATTGACGAATCTTTGGCAGAGATGAGTGGAGGCCAGTTAAGTTTCTCTAGCATCGTAGATGAAGTGTTTGGACATCAGAAAGGGACATCTGCTCTTGTTTCAAGTGATGGCCTCGGAAAAGCTCCATTGTTGACTAGCTATCAATCGGATTCCTTCTACAGTATGCATGGCCCTTTAGAACCTAGCTCTTTGAATTTGTTGTCATCTCCCCCTGGGAAGGGTTCAGCTATGAAGAAGATAGCTAGCTCTAACTCCAACAAGGAGTTGTCCATGATTTTGTCTCCATCCCTAACTGCTGGGAATGGAGTCTCTGAGTCAAGCAGCCGAATGGTCAATGAATCCTCGTTGTCACCTCTTCCCGTATGTAAGAACATTTCCACAGCCTTTTGTTATACAATATATTTTTCGATATTGAGATCCTAATTTCCTTTTTTTTTTTTGCTGTGAAAACAGCTGATCTTGCAGTTGTCTCTGACGGTCCTTTGTTGAGAAAAGACCAGAAGTCCCGGAAACGCTCAGCTTCAGATTTGCTAAGATTGATCCCATCTCTACAGGGAGTGGAAGGTGTTTCTTATCCCAATAAGAGAAGTAAAACCTCTGAATTGGTGAAAAGTGAATTAGTGAAGAGTTGGAGCACTGCCTCACAGGCCCTATCTACTGCCGTGGTAACATCAACAAAAACTATTGGATGCAGCTATGGGGATCTCATAGCTGAAGCAAACAAAGGCAATGCACCTTCAAGCGTTTTTGTCTATGCTCTTCTCCATGTGGTCAGGCATTCTTCGCTGTCCATAAAGCATGCCAAACTAACTAGTCAGATGGAGGCACTAGATATCCAATATGTTGAGGAAATGGGTCTAAGAGATTCATTTTCAGATATATGGTTCCGGCTTCCATTTGCTCAAAATGATTCCTGGCAACATATATGCTTGCAGCTTGGTAGACCTGGAAGCATGTGTTGGGATGTGAAAATAAATGACCAACACTTCAGGGATCTCTGGGAGCTTCAGAAGGGAAGTAAATCCACGCCGTGGGGATCTGGCGTTCACATTGCGAATTCATCTGATGTTGATTCCCATATCCGGTATGACCCTGAAGGTGTTGTTCTAACCTATCAATCCGTGGAAGCCGATAGTATTAAGAAGCTTGTGGCCGACATACAGAGGCTTTCAAATGCTAGAAGGTTCTCCCTTGGCATGCGGAAACTACTTGGCATAAAGCCAGATGAAAAAACAGAAGAGCGTGGTTCTAATGCCACTATTAAAGGACCTGCTGGAGGGAAAGGCAGTGGTGAGCCAGTTGATAGATGGAGGGCTTTCAAGATTGAGGCAGTAGGATTAACAAGCCTGTGGTTTAGCTTTGGTTCAGGCATTTTAGCTCGTTTTGTTGTCGAGTGGGAATCAGGTAAAGATGAATGCACCATGCACGTCTCTCCTGACCAACACTGGCCACATACTAAGGTGAGTTGTTAATTTTAGTGTTAAGAGGTATGTATATATTTGAATTTCCTAATTGTGGGTTGTTATTGTACAGTTCTTGGAGGATTTCATAAATGGTGCAGAGGTAGAATCTCTTCTGGATTGCATTCGCCTTACTGCTGGGCCTTTGACTGCGTTAGCTGCCGCTACTCGCCCTGCCCGAGCTAGTACTGCCACTGGCATGCCTGTCGTGCCTGCTACAGCGACTTCAAGACAATCAAATCAGATACAACAAACTCAAGGAATCACTGCCCCTCCTAATGCTGTTGGCCAGTCTGCCTCAGCTGCTTCAGGGAGTACTGTTGCTTCTCCTTCTCCTGCTCCAAGTCCACTTGGTGGAAACTTCCCTGGAGTTGCAATGCTAGCAGCTGCAGGGAGAAGCGGACCTGGAATCGTTCCCAGCTCTCTCTTACCCATTGATGTCTCTGTAGTACTCCGTGGACCCTATTGGATAAGGATCATATACCGTAAACGTTTTGCAGTGGACATGAGATGCTTTGCTGGAGACCAAGTCTGGTTGCAACCAGCAACTCCACCCAAGGGTGGTGCTTCTATTGGAGGCTCCTTGCCATGTCCCCAATTCAGACCTTTCATCATGGAGCATGTTGCTCAAGAAATAAACGGTTTAGAACCGAATTTGACAGGTGGCCAAGGAGCAACTAATCCAAACAGTGCAAACCCAAGTGGTAGCAGAGTTAACTTTTCCCCTTCTAGTGCAATGTCAAGGGCCGTGATGAGTCGTGTAGGCAGTGTTGCTTCAGGATCTTTAGTGGGTGGCTCAGGATTGTCGTTACGTAGACCACCAGGCAGTGGTGTGCCAGCACATGTAAGAGGCGAATTAAACACAGCAATTATCGGTTTAGGTGATGATGGTGGCTATGGCGGAGGATGGGTTCCTCTTGTGGCTCTTAAAAAGGTTTTACGTGGTATCCTCAAATATCTTGGAGTACTGTGGCTATTTGCTCAGCTACCAGATCTCTTAAGAGAGATCTTAGGTTCAATCTTGAAGGAGAACGAAGGCGCCCTATTGAATTTAGACCAAGAACAACCAGCGTTACGTTTCTTTGTCGGGTAATAGAAACCAAGAACTTGGATAATTCATATCATGTGTTTATACATCAATCTGTTTATGCTAACCTTAGTTGTTCTTTTCTTTTGTAGTGGCTATGTATTTGCCGTAAGTGTCCATAGAGTTCAGCTTCTTCTTCAAGTCCTTAGCGTAAGGAGATTCCATCACAACCAGCAGCAGCAAAACGGTTCATCAGGTACTGCTCAAGAGGAACTAACACAATCAGAGATTGGAGAAATCTGTGACTATTTCAGCCGACGTGTTGCATCAGAGCCTTACGATGCTTCAAGAGTCGCCTCGTTCATAACACTCCTCACATTACCCATTCCGGTCTTGAGAGAGTTTCTAAAACTGATAGCTTGGAAGAAAGGTTTATCACAATCACAACAAGCTGGAGAAGTTGCTCCTGCGCAGAGACCTCGAATCGAGCTATGTCTAGAGAACCATTCCGGTGCAGATGTTGAAACCAGTTGTGCAGCTAAGAGCAATATCCATTTCGACCGGCCTCAGAATATGGTTGACTTTGCTTTGACCGTGGTTCTTGATCCTGCGCACATACCTCACATAAACGCAGCTGGAGGAGCAGCGTGGTTGCCTTACTGTGTATCGGTTAGGTTAAGGTATACATTTGGGGAAAGCCCAAGCGTGACGTTTCTTGGGATGGAAGGAAGCCATGGAGGTCGGGCTTGTTGGCAACGTGTTGATGATTGGGAGAAATGTAAACAGAGAGTGAGCCGTACAGTGGAAGTCAACGGTTCTGCTACAGGAGATGTGACTCAAGGGAAGCTCAAATTGGTTGCAGATAGTGTCCAGAGAACATTGCATCTATGCCTTCAAGGTCTCAGAGAAGGCAGTAGTAATAACACTCTTCAAAAGGAATTTACCATATAGGGAGTTAAAACTTTTGTCAGTTTGTTGGCTTAATGTGTACATACAAATCCTCTGGTTGTGAAATTTTGTTGAATTTAGACATACCATAATCAAACATTTGCTTGAGAAAAGATTATTCCATTTTGATTACAAGATTGAATGAATCAAAAGTATAATCAATGGCTAATTCATCTCTGTTCTTAACAAGTCAAAATTTGAACTCATTTCGTCACATATATGATGTAATATTCTTCTAATCTCAAGCCATCTTGGATGGTTCTGCTTTTCTGTAGCCACAAAGCTATGAACTCCCTCTACTCCTACTACACTACTGTATCCTGCAACCTTCTTTACTCCACGACTCTCCATTGCTTCTCTTGTCTTGTCTGAATACCCAAATCTTCTAGCGGCTGCATAGATGTTAGACAACAACACGTATCCACCTTCTTTTTCAGGCTCTAACTTAAGCAACTCCGTTAAAGCCATCTCTGCAGTTTCAATATCTTCTCCTCCTCGACAAGCACTTAAGATTGATCCCCACATTGACTGACTTGCTCTCATTGGCATCTTCTTTTGCACTATGTCTTTTGCTTCTTCTACTCTCCCCGCCCTACACAACAGATCAACAAGGCTACCGTAATGCTCGGTTTCAGGGTCAAAACCGAACTTCTCCTTCATGTGGTTAAAAACGTGTAGCCCTTCCTCCACGAGACCGCTATGGCTGCAAGCTGTTAAGACAGCGAGGAGAGTGACTTTGTTCGGCGTCACGCCGTCTTCTTGCATATCTTCAAATAGTTGCAGAGCTTGCTTGCCATTTCCATGGAAGGCAGTCCCAGTTATCATTGTTGTCCATAGCGTGACGTCTTTCACAGCAACTGTCTTGAAAACCTTAGAAGCCCGCTCGATGCTACCACATTTGCAGTACATATCTACCAGAGCCGAGCCAAGAAAGGCATCAATTTGCAATCCCAAGCGGATCATTAACCCATGTACCCATCTTCCTTGGCTAATTTCTCCGTTGTCTGCTGCACCACTTATCAAACTTACAAAAGTGACACAGTCTGGAACAACCTTCTCCCCTATCAACATCTCATAAACCAACTCTCTAACAACTCTCTGATCACATCCCTTCTTTGAGTAACCAAGAAGCAGAGAATTCCAAGAGACGAGATCTCTTCTAGGCATCTGATCAAAAACATCCCGAGCAGCTTCCATGTCTTCAAGCTTAACAAAGCCACCAACCATGGTGTTCCAAGAACAAACATCCTTCTTCGCCATCATATCAAACACTCTTTTCGCAAAACCAGACTCTTTGCATTTGAAATACATATCTAAAACAGCATTCCACAGTATCAAATTAGACGAAGAACCAGGCTTCCTCCTCTCAATCCAACCATGAACTCCTCTCCCAATCCTAACATCAGATAATCTACCACAACAAACTAAAATCCCCAACACCGCATACTCATCAGGCTCAATACCATCACTAACCATCTTATAATACACCTTCATCGCCTCTAAACAATACCCTTTCTTAGCATAACCAACAATCATAGTGTTAAACGAACTAACATCTGGTTCAGGCATTTCATCAAACACCTTCTCTGCAAAACCCAAACCTCCCAACTCCGTATACAACTTCACAAGATAATTCCACAGGTAATTATTATCCCCTTCAGACAAAACCCCAGAAACAGTTACATGACAATGAATCTGCTTCACTTCCGACAGAAAGTTCGTTACTTTCATCAAGTACAGAAACGTTTGCCTATCAGGACAAACACTGTGTCTAATCATATCCCCATAAAGAGCAAAACATTCCTTCTTCGAGCTTGAAACAGCAGAAGAAGAGATCATTGTGTTGTAAACGAAAACATTTGGGTTTGGTGTGAAGTTACGAAACAGGAGCTTAGCTAAGTCGATGTTGTCTGGATAAGTGATCGCTGAGAATACGAGAAGACGGCTCATGGGAAACGTGTCGCATATGAGATTCATTCTCATGATGTTTGCTAAGATCTGCTTGAATTGATTCCTGGAGTTGCATCTTTCGAGCAGAACAAGAGATGTGTGATTGAGCTCAAGGGAGTGAAGTGGATCCCATGTTGTTGTCTTGCGTTTACATTCGGTTGCAAAAAACCTAACTCCTCGACGCACGAACATAGAGCAGAAGAAACAGAACAGAAAGCTCTTGTCTTTGTCGGAATATTAGTTTGTCTAATCTAAAATACTAAAATTTCAAAGATTTGATCTTTGAAGTTATGTAACTTCTTTTTTAAACATATTTTATGAACTAACTTAAATTATATCTTATGAGTTATGAAGGAACAATATAGGCTTCAGACACGAACCTATGATCAAATCTTGTTTGTTTCTTTGTCGCATGAGTTGTTTATTACAGCAAAAAGAATAACAAACTGCAATTTGCAACTAGTTACATACCTTAGGTTGCAATTGCAGTTATCTATAAACGAACAGAGCCATAGTTTTATCCTTTGTTTCTGATTCATTTGAACATAATGTGTTGTTTATCCTAGTGACCAAATGTCTGAGAGGATCTCTGTAAAACATTAAGCAAAGGGAAAGTCCTATGCAATCTCTTGAAAGAATACTCAGAAATAGCATCAATCCTAACCAGATCATTAGCTAACTCCATAGCTTCAGCCCTATATCCAGCAAATCCAATCCCTTCAATAAGCATTGTATAAGTGGTTTCATTAGGCCTACACCCATTCTCCACCATTGATTCAAGAACATCAATAGCATCTTCAATCCTATGAGCTTTACAGTATCCCAAAAGAACAATGTTGTAAGTAACAACCGATGGATGAAACTCACAGCTTCTCATATCAACCAACAACTCAAAAGCTTCATCAACCATCCCTTCTCTGCATAGACACGAGATCATAGAGTTATAAGTGATCTCATCGGGGTCGACCCCGTCACTCAACATCTCTGATATCATTTGTAACGCCCTGGTCTTATCTCCGCTGCTCCACAGCGCGCTGAACATCGTGTTGTAGGAGCTAGAGTTCGGCGAGCAGCCTACTTCGCCTAGCTTCCCGAAGATCTCCAACGCTTGATCCGCTTTTCCGTTCTTGCACAATGTAGCTAACACAGTGTTGTAGTTCACAACGTCTGGTAAACATCCATCAGAGATCATAGTTTCCAAGAACTTGATAGCTAAATCTAACCTACCTTCTCTACAAAACGCAGCGATCAAAGGGTCATAGCTATAAGCATCAGGCGTCAACCCTTTCTCCTTCATAAGCCTAAGGAGATTCAACGCTTCATCGATCTTTCCATCGCGGCATAGAGTAGTAATCAGAATGCTATAAGTCACAACATTAGGCTCACACTTCTCAGAGAACATCTTACTCATCAGCTTCTCTCCTTCTTCCCATTTCCCTTGATTCAATAGCGCTCTAAGCAAGATGTTGTAAGAGATCACATCAGGCTCACAGCCTTTAAGCTCCAAGCTCCTAATCATCTCAAAAGCACGCTCCACCATCCCTTCTTTACACATCCCTCTGATGATTGTATTGTAAGTAAACATATCAGGTTTCAACCCTCTAGACAACATCTCATCCAACAGCTTCAAGGCCTCATCAACACCCCCATCAAGCATCGTCGCTTCAATCAAAATCGTGTAAGTAATCACAGTAGGCTGACAATTATCACCAAGCAACTGATCTAAAACTTTCAAAGCAAGATCAAGCTTCCCTCTACTACACAAACTACCAATCATTATATTATAAGTCACAGTATCAGGACTAAACCCTTTACTCCTCATCCTATCGATAACTTTAGTAGAATCATCGATCCTATTCATCTTACAAAACCCGTTTATCAAAGCGTTGTAAGCAAAGACATCAGGCTGTCCGAACTTCTCGAGAATCTCCATAACTCTAACGGCTTTTGGGACGTTACGGAGGTTGAAAAAGCCTTTGATGAGCTTCGTGCAGAGGATCACATCGGGGTTGTAGCCTTTAAGCACCATGCTCTCGAGTAGATGCAGAGCTTCTATGTAGTTGCCTGTGCGGCATGAACGGTGGAACATTTTGAGCATTTGGGTGTCTCTAAACCCTAGAGACTGTGAATGGGTTTGTGACGTTTGTCTTGAGTCTGTTGTGGAGGATTGGAGATTGGTTGAGAAAGGTTTGACATTGACGTGGTTAAGGTTAGAGTTAGAGCAGGTTAAGAAGCTTCGGTTGTGAAGTAAGGGATAGTGTTTATGGGTTTTGGAGTAGAAAGGGATGGTGAAGCCAACGAGCTCAGAGGAAAGTGGCGTCATGTTAAGTTTCATGGAAGTGGACGAAAACAGAGGAAATGGAGTAAAGGAACCAACTTTCTGGGGGATTTAGGGGAGGAACGAAAAACCCAGAAGTGGAATTGCGATTCAGAGAAGAAACGAAACGTGAAACGGTGGAGATAATGCAGGAGGAGAGGGAAAGGTGTGAACTTTGGAGGATAGAGAAGAACAGAGCACGACCACTCGTTTTGTAATCTCAAAATGTAATCCTTAAATGTAATAATTTTATTAGGTTTATTATCTTTAACGGATGAAGAGAGGAGTATACAGGGATTCAGGATGGGATTTTATTACAAGATAGAATCCCGCTACTTCAGTGACGTTTGTCTCGACTCTTTTGAGAAACAGAGAGAGAGAGTCAAAAAGCATTTGATCAATACGACGACGTTGGAAGATAATGAGTCAACAAAATTTTAGCTAGCTAAACTAATTAGTCAAAATTCTTCTAGCTTAACGTTCATGATGAATTGATGATGATAGGAGGATTACAACATCATTGCCAATGCTAAAATGGTTGAGAAAAAAAAAGAGGGATATGTGATAAAAATGAGTCAAATATCAGATTTCGCAGGGATTAAGAAAGTTACCGAGGGTAAAAAAAAATTAAGTAAAAATAACCTGTTTAAGTACATGAAACCCTCTTTCTGGATGAGAAGGATCACGAGGAGTACCATATACTTTTCCTTCATGTGATCTTCTTTCTTCTTCATGCTATAGCCATTAGCAGGTGAAACTACCAGCATGACCTAGTCTCTCTCTCTAAGCTATCAATCATAATATCATCTTACAAGAACTAGGAGAGTTATATATTTTCTTAGCTTAATTAGAGGAAGACAAGATCATGCTGGCAGCTTAACTGCTAGGGGTGCATGGTGTACACATATGAATACATACATGAATACAAGTATACATACACACATTTATTTGCATGTACACATGGATTTGTGTGTTCTGTGTGTGTTAGCTGGGTAATGAGAGGGAGAAGAAGGGTATAAATAGTATCGAGAAGCCTAGAGGATGTGATTTGTGAATGAATCATTGATCATTATTTGAATATTATCATATTATTTTTTTTTTATTTGAACTTTAGTTGTGTTTGAAGAGTCGGTCTGATGTAAATTTAAAGCTTTTTAATGATGATTTAATTAACAATTTATGTGTTTCAGAGCATCATACAATTAGTAATCAACACGTGTCTGTAATCTATCAATTAAATAAGGCAGTATACATAGGGGTAGGTATGGATCGGATATCCGGGGTTTTTAAGGTATTTGAGATTTGCTTCGAATGTCACGGATATCTAATTTTGGTATTTGTTTTGCTTTGAAAAATACGGATATCCGGAAAAACGCATATCCGAAAAATAAATAGATATTTGCGGATATTTACGAATATTTATGGATATCTCATCCATTTTGATTAATACAAATAATCTTAAGATTTTGTTACAAATTTGCTTTGCAATTTTTTTGCATGGTATATAAAATAAAAATTAAAAGAACTAGTGAATTTACATATTTAAGAAAAAAATATAATTGTCATAAATCTTTTCTCTCTTTTATGTAATACTTTTATATAAGTAATAATGTGAATAGAATTTTTCAAAATCATGTGCTAGAATAATAATTTTATACATTTTATACATTTAAAATTTTAAATATAATCAAGATATACATATATTTATATATTTCCGGATTGGATCGGATATCCGCTTCCCAAAATTTTAATATTTTTGATTTATTTCGATTTTAACGGATATCGAATTTTAATATTTTCCTTGATTTGAAAACTTACGAATATCTAGAATTTTCGGATCAAATCGAAACGAATAACGAATCGAATCAAACATAACGGATAAAATGTCCAGCACTAGTCATACATATTACAGAAGAGAAGAAGATTTGATGTATTAAGGAAAAGAGAGAAAGCTTAATTGGTCATGATTTCACATTTACATATGTTAGGTTGTTAACCAATACAACGAAACTCATCTACTTTTTGCATTATATTATCTCTACTTAATTACACGTCTTTTCAGTTTTTTTCTTTCAAACATCATAATAAGATAAAGTTAAAACATTTCACATACAATGAAACAAGACTATATTCTCACCCAAATACATTGTGAAATTTCTCATGTTACCTATATATTATCTATATTTCATTTAGTGAAAATACATATAACTTTTGGTTTGAACTTTAAACTGAAGATATCAAATACTAATATTTACAGTTTCAAAGTGATTTGTTGTAGATAGTAAAGTATTTGTTTAGTATGGTAAACAAAGAAAGCATTTGGGGAGTTGAGAAAGTGATGAGAACATGAAATTGTGGTCCCGTTATGAATTACAGATAAAATAAGATGCAAATTGAATATTGTCACGCCTAAAGACAACGCATGCTGACACATATAACACCATCTTCCTAACTTACAGAAGGTAAAAAAACTGGAGCCGTCAAGAAAAAAAAGAGATAAACATTAGACAGAACATGTACTACTCTGCATACAATGTTACATCCAAGAACCATGCTAATAAGGGTTTATCTTCTTAATTTGCAAGTGACATGCACACATGAACAAAGAAAACACAATCATACAAAATAGGCAAGAATTATTAAAATGCGTTTTGCAAAGCTTCAACTGTTAGTATTTTTTTTTATGGTAGCTTCAGGCATTACAATAATATAGTGTGGAAGCAACCGAAACTAGGCTATATAAGACTTTCTTCTTATTCCATTAATATTAATTATAGTCATATCGTAGTATGCATCATGCATGCATGCCAGCATTATAGAAAATTAGACTAGTTGGTCTATTAGAATGGTGCTAACATGTGAATTGTGAACTGTAAAGACAGCAAACGTATGATGATGAGATGCATATGTTTTGTTCACATCTTTTGGTTAGAGATCTGGTGACACAGTTAAATATTTAATCGTGAGACGCATACTTGGATACCGTTTCACTTTCGGCTAACAAAATTAGAATAATTAATATTCCATTTTTGGTTATTATAATGTTGTCATTTGCTTAGCCAACCAAGCATCTACTACCCAATCACATGAAAGCCATGTAACAATGTGAAGTGATATATTCGAGTAAAGTGAATGATTAAAACCAAATTTATAATCGACAATAAAAAAAATCAAAATTATCATAACTATATATACCATGTTTATTGTCAGACAAAAATGGACTAGAGTAAGCAAAGACGACTTACAGTTCAACAACAAATGAATTTATGAGTTGATAAAAAAGGAGAAAAAACATTAGTGTAGTTTGGCAAATATGATAAAAATCTGATAGTTTTTAATCAGGATATACAAGAGATTTATTTTCAACTAATTAAATAACTAACATATCTAAATTTTCTTAACTTTGAAACATATATATATATATATATATATTGATCAAAATCTGACAGTTTTAAATCAGGATTTTCAACTAATTAAATAATTAATATATCTAGATTTTCTCAACTTTGAAACATATATAGTATATTAATCATTAATATGTCTATATATATATATATATATATATATATATATATATATATCCAAATATAAACTTTAGTATCATATTATTATTTATGCTTAATAGAATTCCCCCTAGATTCTGCCTATTCTTAAATCCTTACCCACCACTTGCTAATCATTCCCCTGCATATATAAGCTTCCCATATACCTTTGATCGAGACGATCGATAATAGCCATGACTTTGATGAATTCACTTCCCGAAGACATCATCATAGATTGTATAGCTCGTGTACCAAGACGTGACTATCCAACACTCTCTCTCGTGTCCAAATATTTTCGATCTCTTATCACATCGCATGAACTATACGCTAGACGTGTTCTCTTAGACCGCATCGATTATTGTCTCTACGTAACCATATCTACATCGGACAACAAAGGTTGTAATGTTGACCGTTTGTGCATTCTTCGTCACAACTTCAACTCACCTAACAAAAAAATATTCCTTGGTCCCTGTCTCTTCACTTTCTCGTTTACCTCCACGTAGTAGCTACGTGGCCGTGGATTCGAAGATCTTTGTGACCCCTAATGATGAGAGTCTCGCATCTACTGATACGTTACTCATCGATTGTAGGTTTCACACAGCACACCACGTCCCAAGCATGACTGGTGACTGATGACTGGTGAGGATGTTAATTTATCAAGCACTGTGATATATGGTGAAAAAGTGGTTGTGTTTTGGCAGAAAGAGTTTGATGAGAAGAAGGAAATATGGTGTGCTGAGATCAAAGTGGAAAGGGATCAAAAGGGAGAGTTATGTGGAAGAGTTGAGTGGTGTGGTTGTGTGCTCGAGGGAAACTGGCTTACCCTGAAGAACTCTCTAGTTGTTAAGGCCTGATCATTGAGCCCATAGTTTATGGCCCCACTGGTGGTTCTAGTTCCAATATCAATAATGTTATTCAGCTTATTAGTCGCAAGTTCTAGTCTAGTTCAATTTATAAAAAAAAATTTCAAAAAGTAAGTGAAAAGAAACCAACAACAGAACACTAGAAATCAAAGTGATAAAACGATTATATGATTATAACTCTTTTGTTTGCTTAGTGATCTTCAATTTTTTAACCCCTTCATATCAGTTGTCTAAACTCTGTAAATTGGCACAATGGTGTAAAAGACCAATACTTAATGCAAAAAAAAATAATATGCACTAGACCTTGACCCATGCGATTGCACGGGTACTAATTTTATTTTCTTAATTTTTATATTAAATGATATTTTTGTAAAAATTAATTGTATTACATTAAGTTTTTTTTTGTGTGTTAGCAAATTATTGTAACAAAATATTGGGTATCATACAAACAAATCTAACATGTAGACGATATATTGAAAATATTTTTCAGTTAAAGATACATCAAATCTTGAGAAGTAAAAGTTAATATGGTATACAAAAAAATGAGAAATTAGTTATAACATTTCTAAGAAAAAGCCTGATGTTCAAATTATATAAAATTTTTAATATATAAAACATTTGGATTGAAATTTGTATAATAAATAATGAAGTATCAATTAAATGGTTACAAATTACTTATGGATTTAATTTTGACAGAAGAATACCGAAAAGTTTATTGTTTGATCCACGTAAGTGTTTGTTTTTATATATTTTATAAGTGATAATATATATTTCTAAATTTACCCGTTTAAATAATAAAACGACATTTTAAACACACAATTTTTTAGTTTATACTGAGTAATTTTATTTTATCTTATAAACTATCATTGTGTTATACTTATTTTTAAAATATGACCTGTATATCTGCACAAATGTTTTTTTTACTTTTATTGATCAAAATTTTATGATAATGTATAACTAAATTGTTGTATCTACTATTTAAAATATATGGTCCTATATATTTCTACTTTTTTAACTTTTATTATTCTGAATTTACCTTGAACTATTATTTATATAAAATATACTTTACATAATATATTTATATTAATCTATGTATTATATATTATATAAATGTTTCTTTTTGTGACTTTTATTTTAGTTATTACTTATAAATAATAAAAATATAATTATATATCTTTGAAAACACTATTGTTCATTAACTATTTAAAGATATGTAGATAATTAATAAGAAAAAAATCTTAAAAGGTAGGTTAATTAATATTGGAATTAATTATTATGTATATGGAATTAGTAAAACAATTTATATATAATTTATTTATTTAATTACGAAAGGTATATATGAAAATAATTATTTTCATTAATTATTCTTGCCATATTTTTTTAGTTAAATTTTGATTTTGGAACTGCATTAATTAAAGTGAAAAGACAAATAATCCTATAAGATAGGATAATTAATAATTTCAGTGGCATAACATTGTAAATAATTAGAAAAACTCAGGGGTATTTTATAAGTGTACTTCTATTTTAATAATATAAATATATATATATATATATATATATATATATATATATATATACGAACAACTAGGACCAACATTCTCTTTAATATTAAGACTAGTAAACTTACGTTGAGCCGTAGAGAACGATCTTCTGAACTCGATCTTCTGAACCTTTGTGAGTTCAGAACCCCAAGCTTGAGTCAAATAGATAAACGTTAGGTCGAGCTAGTGCTTTCGATAAGCAAGTATAATATAACACAGAACATGGTGACAGTCTTCACACCAACAATATGTGGAACTTAATCGGACTGTCTCAAATAAATTTTATACTATGTTCAAAAAAAAATTAACGATATATTTATGATTAATGAAAATTTTTAAAAGTTAATAACTATGTTTCATGTGTCTTTAAAAATTACAAGTTCTAATCTAATAATATATCTAATTTTTTAAAAAAATTATCATAATTTATCATAATTTATCTATATATTTCTTAAAAAATTCTTAATTTTTCCTTATTATTTCCTTATTTTTTTATAATTTTTATATTTGGGACCATGTTCGACTGCTCCACTTACACATGTTATTAGACAACCCTGAACTTAACATATTTAAGGACCACCGGTTTTCCCTGTAAGTGGATTTCAACACACATAGAGTCTAACTGGTGACCATTATAAAAAAATTAATACCATTAAAACAAAAACATTATGTTTAATGAATTTTTTATATTTTCCAATTATACCCTTAATGATATGAACAAATTTTTATTTTCATTAATGGTAATATGATCTTTTGTTTTTTTGGCCAAAAATTATATACTAATGGGTTTTATTAGTGAGTTGATTCTCTTCCAAATTTTATAAAAAACTTGCAAAAATATATTTTTTATGGGTCAGACGGGTCAAATTTTTGAGTAGAAAAAATGACTCAACCCGTTGCGGGTCGGACGGGCGGGTCAGACTGAGCGATTGAAATTTTATAACTAAATGATTTTACAAATTAATCACAAAACTAAAAAAAATGGACAATTTAATTGTTAAATATACAATTTTTCTCAAGTACACATTTTAGGTACAATCATTGTTAACTTATTTAGAAACGGAAAAAAATTGTCTAAGAAATCCACACCTCATCAAACCCAAGCATATTTAGGACCTCTTTTACAAAACCCCATTCAATCCTATCATATGCCTTGCTCATATATGTTTTCACAGTCATAGAGCATTGTTTCTTTGCTTTTGAAGTCCTCAGGAAGTGGAGTGTTTCATGTGTGATGAGGACATTGTCCGAGATAGCTCGTCCCGCTACAAACGCAGATTGCGTGTTGGAGATAAGAAAATGGTAGCAGGGACTTTAATCGTCGGGTAAGAATCTTAGCGATGATCTTGTAATGGGTGTTACATAAGGCGATTGGTCTATATTCAGCCACTGACCAAGCACCCGTAACTTTTGGAATGAGTCTAATGTGAGTTTCATTTTGCCGCGGGTGTAACTGCTTCGACGTGAAGAATTCCCGAACATCTTTTACCACATCCGCGCCCACAATATGCCAATATGCTTTGATAAAAGGTAGCGGAGAATCCATCTAAATTTTGGTGGGCTCTAAAAGGGTTAAGATTCATTTAGGGCTGCGTTTAGATTAATTAGCGATGGGATGAGCTTAAAAACCCTATTTAACATCCCTACCTACGTATATAAGCTTGACATACCTTTGCAACAAAAGAGTATTGTAGCCTAGGGGTGCACGGTCTTGTGTTTTGACCGAGAGACGATTGATACATCGATGTCTTTCATCAATTTACTTCCCGAAGACATCATCATAGATTGTATATCACGTGTACCCAGACGTGACTATCCAACACTCTCTCTCGTTTCGAAATACTTTCGATCTCTTATCACATCCCATGAACTATACGCGAGACGTGCTCTCTTAGACCGTACCGAGTATTGTCTCTACGTAACCATATCTAACAACAACGATGGTGATGATGACCGTTTCCGTTTGTATACTCTTCGTCACAACTTGAACTCAACTGACAAAAAATATTCCTTGGTCCCTGTCTCATCACTCCCTCGTTTACCTCCAAGTGCTAGCTACGTGGCCGTGGATTCTAAAATCTTTGTGATCCCTAATGATGAGAGAGTACTCTCATCTACTGATACGTTACTCATCGATTGTCGGTTTCACACGGCACACTACATCCCAAGTATGCCAAGCGAACTCGGTTGTTCGGTCTATAAGTATTCTAGTGTCGGTGAGATACATATAGGAGGATTCAAAGTAGGTTTGGGAAATTTTATTTCTGACGGGGTGGTTATGTTCTTGAAAGATCCTAAGACTTTGGTACGTATGTTCCAGTGGACTTATAGCAGTGTGATGACGTCGGATAGCAGCAGGTACATCAGATTTTCACATAATCACTCTGTCTACGGTCAAGACAAAGATAAATGGTACGATAATGAATACTTTCTGGAAGGAGTTTCCTACGTCTATAATCTGCGTTTGAGAAAGTTACAAGCGTTTGATATAAGACGAGATTGGAAGAGGAGCGTTGTGAAGGGCGTAGAACTAATGACTGGTGAGGATGTTAGTTTGTCACGCACGGTGGTATATGGTGGAAAGGTGGTTGTGTTTTTGCAGAAAGAGTTTGATGAGAAAAAAGAAATATGGTGTGCTGAGATCAAAGTGGTGGGAAGGGATCAAGAGGGAGAGTTATGTGGACGAGTTGAGTGGTGTGGTTGTGTGCTTGAAGGAGAGTGGCTTACCCTGAAGAACTCTCTTGTTGTTAAGGTCTGAATCATTGAGCCATAGCTTCTGGTCTCAACGAATATGAAATAAAGTTATTCAACTTATAATCGCAAGTTCTAGTTTATTTCAATTTTTTTTTTTAATTTCAAAAAGTAAGTGAAAAGAAAATAAAACAACAACAGAATAGTAGAAATCAAAGTGATTAAATGTCATATGATGATTATAACTCTTTTGTTTGCTCAGTGATCTTCAATCTTCTTCAATCCCTTCATATCAGTAGTCTCAACCCTGTAATTGCACAATGTAGTTTTTTCTTTTACTAAAGTATAGATATACGAACAAGTAAGACCGACATTAACTTTAGGATTGTAAGTCTAATAATAAAACATTTCTGAGATACTTACGTTGAGCCGTAGAGAGCGATCTTCTGAACCTTTGTGAGCTCAGAACCGGATTGGTTGTCTTCAATGAATATCGTTAAGCTTAAAACAAATAGATAAAAGGTTAGGTCGAGCTTGTGATTTCGATAAGCAAGTATAATATATAACAAAGAAAATGGTAAAAGCCTTTTACCTACGAACATTCTGAAACTTAACATATTTAAGGATCACCGGTTTTCCCTGTAAAATTGATCACAACAGCGAGGTCTCACGACAGATGGAATAGATGTCACTAAAATGAGATAAAATTTAGGTTTCAAAAACGTCTTACCTTAAGATTTTCTTCGGTTAGTTCAGCGGTGTCACTTGGAGGAAAATCATTGACATTACTGTAATTAAAGGAGTATGAATTATTAAAACATAGTATTATTAATCAACAAGTCAGATAGGGGGGAAGATAATTCACAATTTACCTGAAGCACATGTGTTCTTTGTTTGAGAAAAACTTCACCGTTTTAGGACCTGAGATGTTTATATAATAAGTAAGCAAAAACATTAATAACAAGTAACAAAACCAAAGGCAACACATTACCTTCCTCTTCAGGGCCTTTGATAGCAAAAGAATGTAGTTTAACAACTTGGTTAAAAGGAATATAGATTAGTAGTTGTTCATCAGCATCACTCTCTAGGTTCAAACCCGCATCTTCTCTATACCCCTAAATTTCACAAACAAACAACTCAATCTCATGCCATTAGGAGGACTATTGTGCAATTCATGTTCCAGGACCAATATTATTTAATATCAATCTAGCAAAACCCAAATTCGAACAAAAACTTGGTATCCAGACAAAAGTACATTCGACAAGTAATAACCTGTTTGAGAGCATTGGGCAAGGAGTGACTCGAGCTTTGGTTAAGGCATTCAACACCAGACCAGTCAATGAAATCAAGCAAATCAACCTGAAAAAACATACACAAGAATCAAACTTAATCCATTGATCAAATACATGACAAGATTCGAAAGTTTCTCAATACACAGAACAGAATCTTAGTTATTCCTAATCATACGCTTACAAACTAATAAAAATCTCAGAAAAAAGTTACAGTTAATTCACCTGTCCCTTAGGAATATCGCTGGCTGATTCGGCGGACATCGTAAGCTTTTCGTTTCGTTCTTACAAAGAAATCTCAAGATCGAGAAACAAGGAAGAATGTAATTAGACTTGTCGACGAAACAAACGAGATTAGTTATTCTGAGTAGATATGGGCCTGAAAAGTTTATTACAGCCCATCAGTTTATTCATGAAACTGGGCGGTTTTAACTCAACCCGAAATACTGACCTTAAAGAACCAGAAAAACCGAAACCGAATCTGAACTGTTTTACAAAAATATCCGAATGGAACTTATGAACCTACTATTTTGGACTTTGGTTATAACCCGAATCAAAACGAAATCCAAATTAAGATCCGGAAATATCTGAAACTAGTTAAATATGATAATGATTTTATATATGTTAAAGGTGATTTAGATATTTTAGAATATTCAAAATATTTTTGTAGTTGGTTTTATTTGTTATTTTGAAGACTTTAGTTAATTTATATAGTTTAATTAATTTTTAGTTAGATTTGTAAATAATTTATATATTTTGAAATTTTTTTTGTCAATTTTGAGGTTTCAAAAAAATATTTTTTGACGATTTTAAATATTGGTTAGATCCGATCTGAACCAAATCCGATCCAATAATTAGTAAAAATCGAATGGTATTTATGAACATAACACCAAAAATCCGAATCACCCGGACCGATACCGAATGAATGTCCATGACTATTATAAACTATCCAAAAACGACGCCGCATTTCTAACCCTCTCTGAGTGATTCAGCAGGTTACAGTCTTTCATTTCACCAACCAAAAACGAGATTACAGATTTGACAATTATACCCCTATACCAACTACAAAAACAGCCCTCACTTTCCTCTTCCACTCAAATCTCAAAAAACCCAACCTTTACCATTTTGTTTCTTCCTCACTCTAACCAACCAACCAACCAAACACTTCTGATCCTCCTCTCCAATGGCTTCCTTATCCTTCATCTCCTCCTCTCACCTCACTCTCCGCGCTCCTTCCTCTATCATCCGCACACGATCTCACTCCGTCTCCTTCTCCATCAAATCCCAATCCACCGCCCTCTCACAAGACGACTTAAAAAAACTCGCAGCCGAAAAAGCCGTACAATCAATCAAACCCGGAATGGTCCTCGGCCTCGGAACCGGATCCACCGCGGCCTTCGCCGTCTCCCAAATCGGAAAACTCCTCTCCTCCGGCTCACTCCACGACATCGTCGGCATCCCGACCTCCAAACGCACCGAAGACCAAGCCCGATCCCTCGGCATCCCTCTCGCGACGCTCGACACGCACCCGCGAATCGATTTGGCCATCGACGGAGCCGACGAGGTGGATCCGAACCTGGACCTGGTCAAGGGGCGGGGAGGTGCGCTCTTGAGAGAGAAGATGGTGGAGGCAGTTGCGGAGAGGTTCATCGTTGTTGCTGATGAGACGAAGCTCGTGGAGGGGTTGGGAGGGAGCGGGTTGGCGATGCCTGTGGAGGTTGTGAAGTTCTGTTGGGAGTTTAATTTGGTGAGGTTGAGGGATTTGTTTAGGGAGTTTGGGTGTGAGGCGAAGTTGAGAGTTGGGGAGGGTGGGGAGGTGTATGTGACGGATAATAGTAATTTTATTGTTGATTTGTATTTTAAGGAGCCGTTGAAGGATGGGGTTGCTGCGGGGAGGGAGATTGGGAAGTTTGAAGGGGTGGTGGAGCATGGGTTGTTTTTGGGGATGGCTACTAGTGTGATTATTGCTGGGAAGAATGGTGTTGAAGTGTTGAATAAGTGAAAGAGGTTTTTTTTTTCTCCTTTTGTAAAATTTGAAATAAAATCTTTTGCAATTTGGATTCATTATTCGGAAGAGAATTAGAACACAAATGGAATTCGTTTTGGAATCCATGATTGCAAATTGTGTATAGTAGAACTTTCAGTTCCAGTAACAGTGAGCTGTTGAAAAAAGTTTACATAATTCAAACACATGCTCATGGAATATGGGCTGTGGTTAGTTTTTTTAAGCCCAAGGGATGATGCTATGTAACATATTTAGGGCCTTGCTCTGTTTTTAGTACTTGTGGGGTTTTAATGGATTCTCAAACTCAAATGAAGATCAATTATAACATTTATCAAAATCATATATTACTGATTTAGTTTCTTAGCCAAGTATTAAAAGGAGTGTGTTGGATCTGTAATATGAAGTGATTTGAGTTTTAATGGGTTTTGGGATGATTGTAGGAGAATTTAAGATTTTGGGTGATTTTTGTTAAACACTCTTCTTGAATCTCATCTAAAACCATAAGAATTAGATTTTTATTGTTATAACTAATAAATTCCTCTCAAACACTTAAAATACTCTCAAAGCTTCAATATTAAGTGTTACTGAATAAATATCAACCAATACAAAGAATTTACCCACGGCTTTTGATTGGTATAATAGATTTATGGATCATTTAGGTTAGAAATACATCAATGTAATCCCAAAATTTGAAAATATCTTTTCCAGTTAAATATAAAAAATCTAATACAACTTTAATTTATTTTATCCTCATGAATTTGCATTTTGATTTTTTTTTTTTAAACTATATATTATACAGCACACGGTGAGAAGGACAAGAAGAGGATATAGCTACAGTCTGACTGTATCGAGCAATGAACCTCCCTGCAGGCTGCAACTTGATATAACAACTCTAGGAGTACAAAACAAAATACGGGAGTTACATCCATGTAACCTGGTACCTTTTAAAAGGAAAAATAGATCTCCCGTTGACATGATTATTAAAATTCATTATCCTCACGGCTCACGCGGTTTTGCCTTTGCCCTAAACTACTAAAGTTCTAATAAATAGTTTTTTTTCTGAAAAAAAAAAAAAAGTTCTAATAAATAGTTTCATGGAAAAGGAAAGGAAGATCTAAGTGGGTGTGAAGTAAGACCAAATAAGCTTTGCAAAAACTTATAAAATGAACTAAAATACTAAAGATGTTTGCATGATGAATCATTTTTCTCTCAGCCAGTTAGTTCCAGGGGCAAAAATATTTGTTTTGGTTGGGTGCCACTATATTAATGTATTGATCGTTTAATTATTCTCTACACCAGTAATGCAATTGTGTACACTGTATAATAAAAAATGTCCATATTTATAGACCCAGATTCATATCTAATTACGAACATGTATGCATGTTTAATGAAAAAATATGTATTAGCGTTTTGTTTCTACTGTAATGTTCAGGGGTCATCTGGTTGTAAAAATACCGAAATTGTAATGGAAAACTAAGTAAACATACACTGAAGCAAATTATTGGAGATGGTTTTAATGTAGTTTACAAAAAGTATTTTCTACAAAACATCTATGAAGATGCGCTGAACAAAATAAAATAATGCTAAACTGCTAATATAACAATGGAAAATTCAACAATATCTATTTGTAGTGAGGGTTGTTATTAGATTGTGTATTTATGAAGAGTTATATAGCTTTCATTTACAATGATTTTAATGTTATTCAGTTAAGACTTTTCATAACATTGTTATTTTTGTCAACACAATAATGTTATCTATTACAAAGACATATGAACAAATATAACGTGGCAGCAATTAAATGACAGAAACCCAAGACAAGAAATACTTTTGTGATTTTATCAAAAAAAGAAGAAGAAATACTTACTCAAAAGCTATAAAAAGACGCTATGTTTATATAGATATAGCAAAAATAGTGTATGAATGGCGACACTAAATGTGCGGTTTTCACCCGCTTTTCAAAAAAACCGCTTATGTTTCACCAATCAACATTTATAGTGGTGTGCGGTTTTCGAAAGTAGAAAAATAAAACACTGTAGGCGTTTTTTGAAAATAGACGAGAACCGCACTTACCTAATCAACCACCTGTTATGTAGCGTATTGTTTCGAATTCCGCACTCAACAAAGTAAAAAAAATATTTTTTATTTTTTTTCTTCACCTTTGGAATAATAAAAAGCATTTAATATTTCGCAAGTGTGAAATATTTGAGTAGTCAACGTTAATATAGTATATTACGAAAATGTAAAACCTCGTATAATTACCCTAAACTGTCAACTTTCTTTTGGATGGCTTATAGTAATGGCGTAATTTAAATTATCATCTATTTGAATATTTATTATTATCATAGGTTCAAAACACACGTAATCTGATCGTAGTTTTTAATATTTGTTGTTTATTATTACAATAAGTAAGCAATAACATGTGGTTTTAATCAAATACGCACTATGTAATAACTAGTTATAGAAAATTATTTTTTGTTTGATAAAATATTGTATACTAATACTTTTTAAACACAATTCACAATTTTAGTAGTTTAATCCTCTAAATAGTTAGTTATATTCAACTTGGAAAACTAATATCTAAACATAATATTTATAATCAAAATTGTATCTCATACTCAAATTATACAAATTTTTAATTTTAATTTTAATTTTTATTTCAAAAGAATTTACTAGTTAATTTATATTAATAAGAAGTATATATAAGTAGAATTTTAATTGAGAATTAATTTTAATATTCGAAATTATAAAAAATATTATGACATTATCACTAAGCAAATAAAAGTTTATTTTTATTTCTGTTAATATATTTTACATTATTTTCTATAAAAACCGTATTACTTTTTATCAAAACCGCATTACTTTTTATCAAAACCGCACTATTTTTTTTAATCAAATCCGTACTTATCCCACAAACCGCATGAACCGCAGTTGAACCGTACCACACTTTAATTCCGCACCGCTTATACGACGAAAACCGCGGTTACCATTCGGACCCATAATCACTAACTATTCAGATATAATTTTTGTTACTCGACATACTCAATTATTGGTCAAATAATATTACATAAATAGTTATGCACGCATTCCAAAAAATAATTATATTATCTCAAGACGAATTTGTCATTTTATGCTTTTTCTTATAATAAAGAAAAGCAAGGTCACATCATATAATATAGACAAAGGTTGAATAATATATTATATCGTAAACATTAAATTAATATTAAAGTATATTGTTGTCTCAAAATTTATATACAAGGAAATTACAAAGTCTTGTTTTAACTTCCATCGAGCAAAATCTGACGTTTTCCTCTCAAAGAGAGCAGGTCTCATGGCGAACCAGTTTCTTCACCTTTTATAATGCCTCCTCTTATTCACTACCGTTACTCCCCTTCTCTGGAAACGGTGCCGTTATATAGGCTTTAGCTTCCTCCACGTAATGCAGACACTTCTTTCCCTCAACCTCTTCTTCTAAATCAGCCGATTGAATCTCACAACGACGTCGTTTATCAGGTTTGTTCTCTCTCTTATCAAAGTAACCGTTTTTAATTTCTTTTAGCAACAATGCTGTAATGCTGTGTCCTCGTTGTGTTATAGACTGTAAAAAAAAAGCTGTGAATGCGAAGATAGTGATCTGTAATTTCCAATTTCCTCAGAAAAGTTTTTCGTTTTTTTTTTTTTTTTATAATAAAACGTTAGAAATTTCTTAATTACTGCAATGCTATACGACGTAAAGATTCGATTTTTATAACTGGGTTTCGTGTCAAATTTACCTTTTTAAGTTTTGGTGGGTTCGGCACGGCAACACTTTTAGAATAATCGAAGAAAGAAAAGTTTGACACTTTTCCCGTTTTTCTTTAATGCTTTTTTGTTCATTCTATATGGTACGGTTCGTGTTTGCTGACGAGAAACATGATTTAAGGATAAACTGATTGTTCAATGTGTCTTTTTTTTTTATCTTCATTTGGCGCCAGATTCTATAGACGAGTTTAAGACAAAAGAGGTTAATGGAGCATTACGAGGTACTTGAGCAAATTGGGAAAGGGTCTTTTGGGTCTGCTCATCTTGTGAGACATAGGCATGAGAAGAAACTGTAAGTATTTGATCTAAAACAGGATTGCGTGGTGTTGTCTGAAATTTGAATTTTATCTGTATGATGTTCTGTTCCTTTTGCTGTTTATAGGTATGTTCTGAAGAAAATCAGGCTTGCTCGGCAGACTGGTAGGACAAAAAGATCTGCTCATCAAGAGGTTGTTTTGTCTCTCTTCTCTGTTCTGAAACATTCATCTTTCTGTAAACTAACACAATCTCATGTCATCTCCTTGTAGATGGAGTTGATTAGAAAGATAAACAATCCATTCATTGTGGAATATAAAGATTCTTGGGTTGAAAAGGTATCATAATTTACATAATCTTTTTGTTTCTTAAATGTAAAATTTGAAAATGTAAACCAGCTTTATGATGTTTGTATGTGTGCTTGTAGGGGTGCTATGTGTGCATTATCATAGGCTATTGCAAAGGAGGAGACATGTAAAAAGCTTATTCCTCTGACTAGAGAAGAGGCTTTTTGATATAGTTACTGACTTTTCTGCTTCTTGTGCTTTACAGGGCGGAAGCGATAAAGAAAATGAATGGTGTACACTACTCTGAAGAGGTTTGCGTGAAGACAAGTATGAATGATTTTGGCCATTGACACAATTCTGAATGTCTTCTTTCTTTTGGTGTTTGTTATCAGAAACTCTGCAAATGGCTTGTTCAGATCTTGTTGGCTCTTGACTACTTGCATGCTAATCACATTCTCCATCGTGATGTTAAGGTAATTTATGATGTTCTGTCCCAGGACCAACTCAATTTGTAGAAAATAGTCTCCAAAATGATACAGAACTAACTGATTTTTATCCATCCAGTGTTCAAACATCTTCTTGACAAAGGATCAAGACATACGTCTAGGTAAAATGCTTAGCAAATTTGTTATCTTATAATCATTTTCCTAACCAGCTTAACCATAGTGTGACAAATCAACTCAATGATATTCGCAGGTGATTTTGGACTGGCCAAGGTCTTAACATCAGAAGACCTCGCATCTTCAGTAAGTATAGTCTCCTCAAATATTTTGTACATATTGGTTTGTTCCTGACTTAGATTTGATCGTTAACCTTCTTTTAAAACCAGGTGGTTGGAACGCCAAGCTACATGTGTCCTGAGCTACTAGCTGATATACCCTATGGATCCAAGTCGGATATTTGGTCGCTTGGCAAGTTTTATCATCCCATGTCCAAGATTATTAACCTTTAGCTCTAGGTGAATATATTCATCTGAATCTTTGTCTTCTTTTCTTCAGGTTGTTGTATGTATGAGATGACAGCAATGAAGCCTGCATTCAAAGCTTTTGTAAGTTCGTGAAACCTACATTATAAGTATGTTCCTCTGCGTTATATTCATCACATGTATTTGATTGTTGCAGGACATGCAAGGACTAATAAACAGGATTAACAGATCAATCGTTCCTCCACTTCCTGCACAATACTCTGCTGCCTTGTAAGTCTTGTTTTGTCTCAATGTGAGATATTTTAAAACATTTACTTATCTAGACAAATTGGTTTCTTCAGCCGGTGTCTGGTTAAAAGCATGCTTAGGAAAAATCCAGAAGCCAGACCAAGCGTACGTAACATTACTATATCCTTTTGTGAATGTGAACAAACTTGATTAGTTAACATCATCATCTCTTTTCTTCTCTATAGGCTGCTGAGCTTCTCAGACAACCGTTGCTTCAGCCGTATATTCAGAAGATTCATCTGAAGATAACTGATCCAGGAAATAATGTTGTTCCAGAATCTGAATCCTCTAGGAGATACAGCTTACCTGAGCAGAGAAGGCGTCCTCCAGGCAAGAGCCATAGCTTTGGTCCAAGCAGGTTCAGGGGTAAAGAGGAAGTTTCTGTTTCTTCCATTAGAAAACCTGTGCAAGCATTGTGTACAGATGAAAGTGGTGATGGAACGGTTGTTCATAGAGCCTCAGAGGCTTCTAAAAATTCTAGGTATGTTCCAGTGCGATCAAGACAGCCTAGGAGTGACCTTGGTCAAGTAAGTGATCCATCCTTGTTGCTCTTGTTAATGTGTCAGAATAAAGAACACTTGTTTCTAAACTATTACAGCTTCCTGTTTCATCACAGCGCACAAACCGAAAACCAGCAGCGTTGTCTCGTAGAGCCTCCATGCCTAGCACAAGAAAACCTGTAAAAGCAATTAAAGACTCTCACCACCAAATAAAGTCTCCTAACGTGTCCATGAACGCACCAAGAATCGACAAGATTGAGTTTCCATTAGCATCATACGAGGAAGAGCCATTTGTTCCAAAGAAAGCATCGTCTCGAGGTTCATACAGCCCACCTCCAGAGCCACCACTACTACTAGACTGCTCAGTCACAAAAGACAAATTCACCCTTGAACCAGGCCAAACGTTAGAAGATGTATACCAGGAAAACAGGAGCGAGTCATCTGATCAGAATGCAACTGCAGGAACATCAAGCAGGACTTCATCTGGTATAATCATGAGAAGACAAAGATTTGATCCTAGTTCTTATCAGCAACGAGCCGAGGCACTTGAGGGTTTGCTTGAGTTCAGTGCGAGGTTGCTTCAAGATGAGAGGTATGATGAGCTGAATGTCTTGCTTAGACCATTTGGTCCAGGCAAAGTTTCACCAAGAGAGACAGCGATTTGGTTGTCCAAGAGCTTCAAGGAAACTACTAACCTGGAAGATTAACTGATTCATCTTTTAATTCTAACTTGTTGTGACTGTGAAAAGAAGATTCCACTTTTGATAGTTAACTACTTAGGATGTTTTATGTAATGAGTAGCAAACCTCTCTGTCTCTAATACTTTGAAATTCAGGAAATTGCAACTATCATTGACGATTTGATGCTTATTTTACACAAAATTTTCAGAATACAACTGTTGTATCAGAGAAGATAAATGACTAACAAAAAAAAGAGAGAGTAAGACAACTAGCAGATTACAACTGTGCTAATCACTAGTTTAGTCCCTTTACATAGTTAAAAAAAAACAATGGAGTCAAACTAAAGAGAAACATTTTTGTAATGTTAAATATTTATTTAATATTAATATTAAATTTTATAATGCAAATTACAATCTTATTATAAAAATATATTCATTTTAATTGTTATTTTAATCTAAGTGTTGAAAGGAAAATAATACAAACTTAATAAAAATAATCGTCAGGGGTAAAATAAAAATAAACTATATTTTATTTTATTTTTTAAATATTACAGTATTATATAAAACTTGTTAATTTTAGTTGTTATATTAATCTAAATATTGAAAAAAATTAATAAAAATAATTATCAAGAGAAACCAACATAAAATATTTAGTTTTACTCCCACTGTTCATAATATAATATATTTTAGAGAACATCCAAAATATAAAATAGTTTGATACTTTTAAGATAGTTTAATTTTATTGAAAACAGGTTGACCAATAATATTTTACTGAATTATTAATGATTGGTTATCCTATTTTAAACTTATATTATTAATAATTTTATTTTTTAAAAAAGTTGTTTCTGTATTTTTGTGCTTACGCGAGGAATCTTATATTATGAAACGGAGGGAGTATTAGAGAAAATGGAAGAAAACAAAATTATTTTTTTTTTTTAAAAATAAGGAAAACAAAGGAAAAGAAAAACATATTTTATGAAAAATGATTTAAAATATAATAAATGTTTTTTTTAAGAAGAAAAAATATGGTTCATGGACTTGATTATATGTGTATGTCATGAAGTAGTTATTGAAGACCGAACTATCATATGGACCATAGCTGCAATATTTCCTGAATTGATTACTGCAAATCATGAGATTCCATTTAAACGAATATATTTGAAGTTGGAAAAGCCGGAGGAGATGGAAAGAAGTTTTGCTAGGCTAATGAGGAGAGGAAGTTCAACCAGCTAAAGCTGAATCATGATGAGATGAATGTGAAGTTGGACTATGATAAGCTTGATAAGAAAAAGGATATAGGTGGATCTTCTTTATTTCGTGACTTGTTCAAGACAGAGAACAAGGTGAACGCAGTGGCAAAGCCACAAGACAGTGGTTCGACTTGTTTTTGTAGTTTTAGCTGATTAGAGGTTAGCTTTACACCTATTGTGAAAATGCAATAAAAGAGCTATGTTTGGCAATCTGAGCAAATGTGTAATTTAGCTGAGGGTTAGTTTCCTCTGTAGATGTGTTTTACTTCATCAGGTAAGTTTCATGGTACAACAGACGGTTAAAACCTCATACATCATACAATCAACAAAAGCCTATAAACTTTTTCACCCTTATAAATTTCAGTTCTCTTTCTCTTCTCTTCAGTCTAAAACCATTGGTAAAATTAAAAGTGAAGACATAATAAAGAAGGATAATGCGAAGCTTTTGAGAGAAGCCATGAAGATCAGGAAGAACGGTGGCTGCTTAAACCACAGCCTGCATTCCTTGATTGACAAGATGGAAAGAAGCATTACCGAGCAAAATGAGATGAACGTGAAGCTGGAGAGGAAGATCAAGCAGCTACAGCTGCAGCAGGAAGAGATTAACGTGATGCTGAATCATTGTATTCACTCTTTTTATCAAACATGAGTTCTTTTTTAGTTGTTTCTAAATCATTGTATAAATTTTTGCTTATTTTTTCCTTCATATTTTTTTTTTTAGTTTTGTATCAGAAGTATGATATTTTTATCAATAGTAATATTGAGATTGTGTTTTATGCAAGTAAATATATATACAGTAAAAACTCATTAAATTAATAATGTTGAGATTATGTATTAGTCTAGAAAATATATAATATCAATTATACTTATTCACTATTCTATCAAAAACAAGTTCTTTTCTGGTTGTTTCCTATTCATTGTATAAGTTTTTTCTTATTGTTTCTCTAGATTTATATTTATTTTTGTTCTAACGAGTGAAATTTTTATAAGTCGATATAGTTCATAATTTAATAATTTATAAAAAAAACATCTTGATTTTATTTTTTAAAATATTAATTTACAAAACAAAAAAAAATAGTTGATTTGAACTTATATACATTAATTAATTTTAGAAATTTAATTTTATATTAATTTATAGAATATTAATTAAATAGATGTTTACAATAGATATTACACGGGCTTAGCCTAAATAATACCATGCCTACTAGTAAAAGCCCAAACTATTCAATCTCATCGTGTCAAAAAAAAAAAAAAAAAAAAAACTCAAAACCCTAATATGTGGGTTTAAAACACAACAAGCGCCGTAGAAGTTATATCTTCTTCTCCTTTTTTGCTTTCATCGTCGATCTAATTATTATCCTCAGCCATGGCCGTTGGGAAGAACAAGAGAATCTCTAAGGGAAGAAAGGGAGGCAAGAAGAAGATGTAAGTATTTATACTTTCTTTGAGCTTTTGAGTTTGATTTGATTTGTTTTGTTTTGTGTAATTGAATGATTGCAGTGTTGATCCTTTCTCCAAGAAGGATTGGTATGACATCAAGGCTCCCTCTAACTTCACTCACAGAAATGTTGGAAAGACACTTGTTTCCAGAACTCAGGGTACAAAGGTAATAATGTTTCACTGTCTCTTCTCTTACAAACTCGCTTTAGGTAGTGAGATTTGTCGGAACTTAAGTGCAAATGATTTTAAGATTGATTCCGACAGTTGTTAGTAATGTTATACTTTAATAATTTTAAAATCATAGCTTTGAAGAGTTTAATGATGTTTTAGTGTCTCTTCTAGTGAGATTCTTTGTAGAGTTAGTGAGATTTGTAGGAACTTAAGTGCAAATGGTT